GCTCACGGCCAATACCCAGTGACGATTATCTGAACCGGTCATGGGCCTTCCCTAGGTCGACTCAGCCTCAAATGAGTACCTGGTGCGGTGGGTAAACATCGCCACTGGGGAGACAAAGGTGGCCGGGCGTGGTGTTGGCCACCCACATCCTCGTGTGCCGTGCCGGCCTTCATAGGTGCTGTTCGCTAGCAGCACTTGCCCCTACAGTCTGTTAAGGTTACACGGGGGATCTTTATGGTCATAGTGGGAAGGCCTTCAGCTCTCTGGGTGTTCACGTACAGGTTCATCCCTCACCCCTACGGAGCCCGGCTCGGCGCGTTAGAGTCCCACTCGCAACCAACTAAGAATTTATGGATCGTTTCATTCATTTTCTAAGGACGCATTAAGGTCCGAATCTTCTGCCGACGTTTGAACGCGCGGTGCATCGAGAGGGAGCGATGTCAGCCCGACTTCATCTCCGGTTCTGGCTCTGCAGACCTCCTGGTGCCTGTCGCTGTAACCCTGATAAAATTACCCTCCCACCTTGACGCCCCCAACATTCATCTGGTCGGTTTTTAGTGGCCCGGAGCCAATGATTGCCACCTCGGCCACACTCCCCCCCCACCTCCCTTCCTCCAGAGGTTATCTCAATGCTCGTGTGGATGCAATTGAGAACAATTACCCTTTGGAATGTCTTTTGACTCTTTGTAGCCTGGTTTACTCAGTTAGATTCTTCGGATCCTCTGCTGTTTTATGACTTCCTCCTTAGGTCAACTCAGCCTAAATGATTAACTGGTCTGTCACGTAAAAGATTGCAACTGGGAAGACAAAAGCGGTCGGGTGTAGCTTTGGTTGTATCCCTTGCATTATTACGTTTTACCTGCTTATTGCAGGCAGTATGGCGCAATAGTAATTGTTAATGAAAATATATAAAATAGTCACATTACACCTGTTCATGAACGAATCTTTGTTGATAGCCAGTGGGTTTGCAAGTACCTTCGTGAGCCCACCGCATTAAAGCAATGATCAGCTACGGCTGAGATATCGGTCCTTCTGTGTTTCAGATCTGCTTTATGTTCATAGGACTCGGTCCGAGACATGTCGCTTAGTTTCCCCAATTTAACTACTGCCTCAGACACAGCTTAGTTTGTAGACGCTGGGGTATTGCATGTCAGGGATCACATTGTTCACAGATGGGATCAGATCACGAATTTTACGTACCGTGTTAAATCTTGTGTTTGCTCATTATTTGATAAAAACAATTGGCGACCCCTGTTATGTATGACAAGATGATGGTTTTGATTGGGTCTTCAGATGGTTATTTCCCAACGGTTGGGGTGATAGATTTACAGAATGTGTAGTCTGAATATTCCATTCGTCTTGAGAGCTTGGTGTACGTGTTTCTGTTCACTGGATAGGTGGTGATGGTCGGAAATACGAGCTCTATGGTGGAGAGTTTTGATGAGGGAATTCTTCTGGGACGGATGGTGGTGAGTCAGGTTTTAGGTAGGCATCTGTAAGGATTACTTTCCTGTAGACAAGGTGGCCCATTGAGCCACCTGGTCTCTTTTAGATTATAACATCCAAGAATGGTAGCTTGCCATTATTTTCCACCTCCATAGTGAATTTGATGGCTGGGTGTATGGAATTGATGTGGTTGAGGAATTGGTTCAGAGCCGGTCGGCCATGTGGCCAGATAACGAACGTGTCATCTACGTACCTCTTCCACAAGGACGGACGTAGAGTGGATGCCTGGCTGGCGTCTGTCTCAATGTTTCCCATTAAAACATTGGCTACAACCGCAGATAAGCGAGAACCTATTGGGGAACCTTCAACTTGTTTGTAGAATGTTCCATTCCAGGTGGAGTAAGTGTTGGCGAAGCAGTGTTTCACCAGGGCCGGTACATCAAATTTCAGTCCTTGTTGCGCCAAATCTTCAATGATTACAATAGTGTCAGGCACAGGAACTTTGGGAAACAAAGATACTACATCGAAACTAACGAGCAAATCACCTGGAGATAGTGAGATGTCCTAAAATAACGATACCAAGTGAGCTGAGTTAAGTACAACTGAGGCGGTCTTACCAGTAAATGGTTGTAAGGTCTCAGACAGAAGTCGGGCCAGTTTGTAGGTGGGTGAGCCAATGGGAGGCGATAGGATGGAGAGGTGTACCTTCTTTACGCATTTTTGGTAAGCCATACAATCTGGGTGGTCTAGCAGCAGAGGTTTTTAAGGAAACCCGCTTGGTTGGTTCGATTAAAGATGTCGAATCAGTGATGATATTGTTGGTTATTGTAACGAGGCTGTTGGTGGGATCTCTTTGAATTTTTGTATAGCCACCATCATTAAGTAGGTCCTGAATTTTGTTATTGTATGTGGTTTTGTCTATAATGACTGTGGCATTGCCCCTGTCGGCTGAGAGGATGACGATGTCATCTCTCTTTTTTAATTGAGAAAGCTCAAAGCGCTTATCCTTACTGATGTTGCTGATAGGTGTCTTAGCGTTTTTGAGGATTCCAGCGATTTTCGATCTTGCCACATCTGCAGTGATGTGTTCCAAACCCTTAAGAGCTACGTCAGCCTGGGCAATGAATATCATCCACTGGGATGTGTTTAGGGGTGACTGCGAAATTCAACCTTTAATTAGAACCGATTTTAGGCTGTCTGAAATTAGACTGTCACTCTGATTGATAACAGTATTGTCAGCGTTTAACTTTTAAACGTGTCGATCTGGCTTCTTCTTAGAAAGGAGGCTGAACTTGGAAATTAGGTGAGCTGACATTGAGGCCGCTGAAGAGGCTGTCATGTTATCTACATGTTCCCAATCAGATGTAGACATTTTTTCCGTCAATGTTAAGTGTGATTTCAGGAGAGTATTGTCTAAATTGTCTAGTTCAAATCAGAGCAATCTTATTCTCTCTGAGATGAGGGCTAGGCCATCCCTGAACAAGATCCGTTTAGCATTAGGAGAAGTGACAGCAGCAGATGTCGGTGTAAAGGCGATCGCGGCATCCCTTCAGAAATGTGAGCGACTCAATCTATCAAGTTAACACTTAAAACCTCGATGTTTGAACATATTCCTGTGAGGTGGCGGTCAATCCCATTTTACAACTTGTCCAAGTCAAGGCTTGTTGATAATTAACCTCCAGGTGCCGAGTCTCCTTGTGTGGGGGCGAGGCAGCGGGGGCGGGGGGTTGCTCCTTTGGCAGTTGTTGTCTCAAGGGAAAAGTTACACAGGCCTCGTTCCTGCGTTTTTTTAGAACGCGTTAAATCCAGATATATAATAACCATTACATAAAAAGGCATTATCACTCTTAATATTATTTTTTGGAAAAGGCATATTTACAACAGTGTACAGGTGTCTGTGTGTCAGAGGTGGGACAAAGTCATTGTTATGCAAGTCCAAGTCGAGTCTGAAGTCATCAAATTCATGACTCGAGTCTGACTCGAGTCCAAGTCACATGACTCGAGTCCACACCTCAGAGGTGGGACAAAGTCATTGTTATGCAAGTCCAAGTCGAGTCTGAAGTCATCAAATTCATGACTCGAGTCTGACTCGAGTCCAAGTCACATGACTCGAGTCCACATCTCTGCTGTGTGTGGGTGGGTGTACAGGTGGAGATGACCCTGCTCAAATACAGGAAGAAGTCACCCGTGCTGGCTGGCTGAGGCACCATCTGTTGAGCAAGTTCTGACGGTGATCCAGAGTCTGAGACCAGGAAGAGCACCGGGCAGAGATGATCTCCCAAGCGAAATGCTGTGTGAAGGTGTCGTTTGTGCACAGACTGCCCTATATGTCTGGACCACTGGACAGGTTCTGCAGGATGGAAGGATGCCCTGGTGGTCCCCCTCTTAAAGAAGGGTGACTGCACAGACTAACAACTACAAGGGCATCTCACTCCTCAGTGTGCCGGGAAAGGTCATGGCAAGGATTATTCAACATCGCCGTGCCAGGCACGTTGAGGAGAGGCTTGTGGTGCCCCAATATGGTTTCAGGAAAGGGCGGTCTTGCACAGATGCCATTTTTCTGTCCATCTGCTACAGCAGAGGTGTAGATAATTCCAAAAAGACCTACATCTGTTTTATTGACCTGGTCAAGGCCTATTATACCATCAGTAGGCCTGGGCTCTGGGTTGTTATTCGTGCTTTTGGAGTCCGACTCTTTGCTCACAATCATTAAGGACCTTCATGATGGTGAGCAGGCCTGGGTAGACCTTCGTGGTCAAGATTCGGAGCCATTCAATGTTTACCTTGGGGTGTGACAGGGATGTCATCTGGCTTTCACATTATTTCACATCTATTTTGACCACGTAGCTCGTGAAGCCTTCGATGGCTGTACCGTAGGAATTTCCATCTAGTACAGATACAACCACACTCACCCACACTCATCGATATCCAACCACACACACCCATACCCACCCTGACACCCACACACTCAATCACCCACCTGCTCACTCACTCACGCTCGCTCAATCACCCACATTCTCATCCACTAACCCACTCACCAAATCACTTACTCACTCATCCACCCACTCACTCGTCCACCCACCCACTCACTCATCCACCCACCCATTCAGCCAAATGTCATCCGTTGCTTGACCCAGCTGAGTGTGAAATCGCAGTCGTTGGCTCTGCATCTACAGGAGCCGTACGACAATAAGGCGAAAACCAACACCACTCGCAGGCTTCCCGCCTTCCACATTCCCCCCTTAATTAGACCCGAAGCTGCTTAGTCGTTCCATGTGCATTGATCACATCGATGCTGATCTCGACTCCGCCAACCGTTTGCACCTCGTAGGAAATGCGTGGGAGTACAAAATACATCGATCTTTGTACATCACACACACACAAAGACACACAGACAAACAGGTGTGTGTGTGTTTATGTGTGCTTCTTGGAAATTGTATTGTCGTATTCTAGTCCGGGAATTTGCGTCACAATTGAAGTCTAAAACAGCCACGCAGCATATAAATACCGCCCGCTCTTAACATTACAATCACCACAGGCCTTTGAAATCGCGAGTAGAGGTAAGCACTTTAAAACGCCTGCTCTTTGTAAACTTTCACAATATTACGCCGTAGCATTTCTACACAGCAGGCGCCCGCGATAAATACTCAAAGCTAGGAGGGTTTGTTAGATCGCGTCAAACATCTAACCCCACCAATTATTGATACGTTGTCATCACTATACACTAAAGTAAGTTTTGCTCGCCAGACGTTGGTTTGATAACCTGTGATTAACCTGCGAATATTTGTGTTTCATTCTCGATGTACAATCATTCGACGGCAATACAATTATCTGATCAGATCGTGATCGGTTGTTTCTCTCTGCCCATGTAGATTCAACACTACCCAGAGACTCAACACAGCCCGTATAGTTTAACAAGTAGGCTTTCGCGACAAATATTATTCATAATCAACGTTTTTGGGTTAGATCGCGTCATTTATGAATGTGTCGTAACCCTCCACCACCCGACACGGCCAATCAGCAAAAAAAAGTGTCACGTTGACAAAAGACAAATAGTTCACGACTTTAGCCCACCTGTGTGTTGAAGCGTGAAACCGCAACATTTACAATTTTTGAGTACGACGTTTCGCTGATAATTGCATCCAGCATCATCGGGCAATTCGCATGAATGATGAGGCTCTGCTCTGGCTCCCGGTCTTAAATAGAGCAGCAGCAGGGTGACGTCATAATTTAACTCATCAGGTGCAACGATTTTAGGCAGAGGGGGGGTTATTGTAATTATATACTAAATTAGTAATCAGGCAATTGTTACGCTGTGAGTTGTAGATTAGTAATCAGTTGTAATGTGTGTTATTGTAATTATATGCTACGTTAGTAATCAGTTAATTAGTATTTGTTTCCCCTATAAGGAATTGTAATATGTATTATTTAATAATACGCTTCCAGGCCGCACTAAGCTTGTAGCTGTCTGAGCGATTAAAGTTATTTCTGTTTCTCTCAATTTCAATGGATGCTCTAATTAGTCTTTGCCAGTAGTAATTCGTTTTACACAACACTTCAACGTTATTAATATCAATTGAGTGTCCCTGTTGGCAAGCATGCTTCAAACCAGACCGTATGTCATAACTGCGATTGTTAATAAGGACAAGCAAACGAGTCGCGTTTAAAACCTCATGTAACAATGGATCCCATCATTAGATTACCGTGCAGCAGTAGTAGTAGTAACCACGACGTTTGCGATTATTTTAATGTGCGGCGGTTGTCACTGTGAACGTTTAAACTTTCCAGGCACCGGGGTTTGTTAACTCAGAGCAGCGGTCGGGAACCAATGGCTCGCGAGCCATATATGGCTCTTCTGGTGACGGCATATGGCTCCCAGACAAATTTGAGTTGAAAAAAAAAAATCAGTTTGGAACTGATTTTAAAATACATGTGATATTGCTTAATAATACTGTGTCATTTTAAAGTAAACAGAAATTTGTTTTGAAGATAAATTTCACGGGTCACGCCTGCACGAAGCTTCAACCTCACCACGTACGAACCAGACTACTACAAGGCCATCAGCAAAACCACGCAGCACCAGAAGTTGCATTAAAAGTAAGACATATTTAATTTATTATACGTTAAAAATACTATATGGCTCTCAATGCAATATATTTAGAAATATTTGGCTTTTATGGCTCTCCCAGTCAAAAAGGTTCCCGACCCCTGACTCAGAGAGTCGTTGGAGCGACAAAGGGACATTCTGCTTTGACCGTAGGGTCCCTCCCTTTCGTAAACATATCTCTCGTAAATGTGTCGGGCGTCACCCCTTGCCCACGCAAGGAGTTATTTCGTCCATGGCCCTGCCATTTGACGCGTTTGCCCTTCTGCTACGTCGACTCGGTTTAATTCCTGGGAAGCGAACTTATATTGAGGCTTCACAAGAACCGGCCTCAGGCTCTGGTGATGTTCATCATGGCCATCCGATCAAAGCCTCTAGTAAAGTGTTTCCCCTCGCTTCCCATTCTGGCGCTGTATGGGTTTGTCATCTGGGTTTTGCGACTTTCGGGACGCAGGGAACGCGTCTATGGCCACAAGGAGCTTTGACATTCAAAAGAGACAATATCACACTCAGTATTAATTTTTGGAAAAGGGATACGTACATTACGACACTATACACTACCATTCACTACACTATACACGACTATTCACTACACCATACACTACGCCAAGCACTACACTACTGTACACTACACTATACATTCCTATACACTACTATACACTACACTGTACACTATTATACACTATACTATACAATACACTGTACACCTACTATACCATACAGTAGACACTACTATACTCTACACTTTACAGTACACTATACACTACCATACATGACACTATGCACTGTACACTACTATGCACTATACTACGATACACTTCACTATACACTACACTACTATACACTACACTATTCATTACTATACACTACACTACTATACACTGCAATATACACCACAATACTATACACTACACTATTCAATTACTATACACTACACTACTATACACTGCATTATACACTACAATACTATACACTACACTATACACTACTATACACTACACTCAACATGATACTACTATACACTACACAACTATACACTACACTACTATATACTACTATACAATACTATACACTACACTATACACTCCAATACTATACACTACAATACTATACACTACACTATACACTACAATACACTGCACTATACACTACAATACTATACACTACACTATACACTACTTTACACTACACTACTATACACTACACTATACACCGCACTACTATACACTACACTACTATACACTACTATACACTACACTATACACTACACAAGCTCACTAAGCCACCGTGTTGCCCACAGGACTCCACAGCAAGGACAGCGCCCGTGGCTAAGAGGCTCGGCAACAATATGGGCTCAGAACAGAGCAAAGGTAAACTACAACTACAGTCTATGGGTAGTGTTGAGTCTATGGGTAGTGTTGAGTCTATGGGCAGTTTCGAGTATATGGGTAGTTTTTAGTCTATGGGTAGTGTTGAGTCTATGGGTAGTGTTGAGTCTATGGGCAGTTTCGAGTATATGGGTAGTTTTTAGTCTATGGGTAGTGTTGAGTCTATGGGTAGTGTTGAGTCTATGGGCAGTTTCGAGTATATGGGTAGTTTTTAGTCTATGGGTAGTGTTGAGTCTATGGGTAGTGTTGAGTCTATGGGCAGTTTCGAGTATATGGGTAGTTTTTAGTCTATGGGTAGTGTTGAGTCTATGGGTAGTGTTGAGTCTATGGGCAGTTTCGATTTAAAGCTTTAGTGACTGCAGGGATTCATCTTCTTGGTTTTTTTCGGTAAAGTCACGTAGAAGGGAAGTAATAAAATAATAAAAATAAAACAATAAAATAATTCTCACGACGTTTCGGCCACAACGCAAGCAGCCGTCCTCAGGTGAAGAACAGGTCTGTCAGAAAAACAGTGTCTGAATGAAAACCACCAGACTTGGCAGCGTATATTTAAGCTGGGTTGAAAGGGGGAATTGCGCCCCGACAAAGGAATTCGCATATCAAGAGGAATCTAGCATACCCATGGGTATGCTAGATTCCTCTAGATTCCTCTTGATATGCGAATTCCTTTGTCGGGGCGCTCTTCCCCCTTCCAACCCAGCTTAAATATACTGCTGCCAAGCGTGGTGGTTTTCATTCAGACGCTGTTTTTCTGACAGCCCTGTTCTTCACCTGAGGACGGCTGCTTGCGTTGTGGCCGAAACGTCGTAAGAATTGTTTTATTATGTTTTATTTTTATTATTTTATTACTTCCCTTCTACGTTGCTTTACCGAAAAAAACAAGAAGATGAATCTATGGGCAGTGTTGAGTCTATTGGCAGTGTTGAGTCTATAGGTAGTGTTGAGTATATGGACAGAAATAGGCTGTTTTTACCCTATCATCCCCATCTTTTGTGGTGGTGTTGGTGTGTGATGTGTAACGTGTGTGATGTGACGATGTGTGTAATGATGTGTGATGATGTGTGAGATGAGTGTGATGTGTGAGATGATGATGCGTGACGCGCGTGATGATTTGTGACGCGTGTGACGATGTGTGCCGAGATGATGATGATGGCTATGTGTGTGGGGGGGTGTGTTCTTTTACAGGGCAGGCGAAATCAACCTCCAACCAACCATGCAAGGCTTACGGCCTCAACTGTGCGATCTGCGAGGGCATCTTCTACGACCCCGTGTTCCTGCCGTGCGGCCACACCTTCTGCCGCATTTGCTTCGACGTCCACTGGGAGCTGGAACGGACGCGGAAGAAATGCCCCTGCCCGCAGTGGACGTGCAATCTGCGCTGGGAGTGGAAGCCGAAATTGCGGACGGACGAGGAGCTGAGAGCGCAGGCGGAGCGAGCGAGGGAGAACCTCGTGTCGTCGAAACTTTGCGGCGACGGATCGGCGTGGCGGGCAAACGAGCGGGTGAGTTTGGTCGGAACACCGTTCCGTTTCGGTACGCTGGAGGTCGTTGGGATTCCGATCCCGGAACCCTGACGATGACCTGCCTGCTGCTGTATATTTGGAGCCTGCTGTCTCTCTCTCTCTCGTCATCACGGTGGCTAGGATATGTTGACTACCTCGCCTGGTGTACAGGAGGTCGTGGGTTCAAACCCTACTCTGACGATGACTTGCCTACTGCATAGTTGGAGATTGCAGATCAGTGGGGCATTACACCTGTAGTGGGTTCTAATCGGGCGCACACCAAGACTGGGAGGCAACACGTTTTTATTCTCTAACACAACCAACACTATTCAACGTTCCAAGGTTAACTATGTACATTCCGAGCGACTATGTACATTTCAGGTAAACTACGTAAGGTGGTGGCCTAACCACCTAACCACTTGAACGGATTCCCAATAAGGTTGAACTAGAACTGCCGACACGACCGTCGTGTTGTCGCGTACTGAAGAGCGAAGATCGGAGAAGATGACTTCTTTCTCTGGTTGAATAGCCACGCTCCCCTTCGGAGCTCGGCTTCTCTCTCCCGTGTGACGTGGCCGGGCTCCGCTCGTGGTCACGCCCCCCTCCTCGATCTTTCGCAGAAGAGCTTGGGTCCACATCACGTGGCCCGCTCACCCCCTTCTGGCAGGCCCCCGTGCCCCCTTGTGCAGTCACGTGCTCTCGCGGGTTCACCCAGACTGTCATGTCCTGACCCGACCTCCGTGACATCCAGAATCTGCCCTCTAGTGAGCCCTTGTGTATAGTATAGCCACTGTCGCCATAGAATGGCCCATTTATGTCGTTACACACCTGATAACATAAACATCGTTTAGTTTTAGTATGGGTCTCTTTGTATCTCTATGGGTCTCTATAGGTCTTTATGTATATTATATGTCATCTCTATGTATCTATATGGGTCAATATGTATCTCTATGGGTCTCAATGTATCTTTATGGCTTTCTGGTTCACTATAGGTCTCGATATATTTCTATGGATCTCTATGTATCGTATGTATCTCTGTGTCTCTCTATGGGTCTCTATGTATGTATGGGTCTCTATGCATCTCTATGGGTATCTGTGTATCTATGTGTCTCTCTATGGATATCTTTGTATCTATACGTGTCTCTATGGGTCTCTACGTATCTCTATGGGTCTCTATGCATCTCTATGGGTCTCTACAACGTGTCGAACGCCCACTGACAGGATGTCATGAGACAGACCCTGTAGGTGCCATGGGTTGACCGACTGAGATGACTTAGGAATACACCAGCAGCTGTACCCCCTACTGGCCCACTCACACACTCACTCACCCACTCACCAGATCATCTGCACACATCATACCATGGTTGTACTAATAAGGAGCCATCCCTTGACCGGACCCAGGCATCGATCAGTCTCCAATTGCATCTTTATCATATGGAAAATCCACCAGTACATCTGTGGAAATCTTCAGAATAAAAAATGGTTCCGACACCCAGTCACACAACTTTACCTGGGCCTGACCACTATCATGAAGGTCCTTAATGAAAAAGTGAGTAGACAGTCTGGGAATCTGAAAGCACGAAGACGAACCCAGAGCCCAGGCCTACTGATGGTATCATAGGCCTTGACCAGGTCGATAAAGCAGATATTTAGGTCCTGTTGGAATTCCATACATCCCCTGCTGTAGCAGACAGACAGAAAATATGGCATCCATGTAGGACCCCCTTGTCCTGGAAACACATTGGGGCTCCGCAATCCTCTCCTCAGCCTGCCTAGCAAGGCAATGGTGAAAGATCCTTGACAGGACTTTTCCCAGCACACTGAGGAGTGAGATGCCCCTGTAGTTGTTACAGTCTGTGCGGTCCCCCTTCTTAAAGAGGGGGACCCTTCCAATCCTGCGGAACCCAGTCCAGTGGTCCAGACTGTTGTTATTATGTCATGTAGGGCAGTCTGTGCACAAACGCCACCCTCCCTCAGCATTTCACTTGGGAGATCATCTCTGCCTGGTGCCTTTCCTGGTCTCAGACCCAGGATCGCCTTCAGTACTTCCTCAACAGATGGCACCTCAGCCAGCCACTCACAGGGTGTGACTACTTCTTCCACCATCCCCAAACACACACAAAGACAAAGACACACACACACACACTGCGTGAACACGTTTCAAAGGGCACTCCGAAAGGGTTACGACTTTGCGTGATTACTTGTCATGACGCCACTGTCACATTTCAATGCCTCCACCTTTTGTTGCTGTCATCATCTTCGCTTCCACAACAGTCCCAAGCATGCAGGAAGCTCGTGGAGACATTTCCCGAATGGAGGACGAGGAGGATTGAGGTCTTGAAGATGCTCTTCAAGATGATCGTTCAGCTGAGGAAGAGGAAGCGAGACGGCAAAATCTCCAAAGCGACCGGCGCTTCTGCGGGCATCGTCGGCGGTGCCATGGTCATTGCCGGCTTGGCCCTCGCCCCGTTGACCTTCGGCGCATCTCTGGGCCTCACCATCGCCGGCACGGCCACGGGGGTGGCCGGAAGCATCACGGCTGCGGGGTCGTCGATCGCCGTGCTGGTGATGAACAAAGCCTCGACCAAGGAGGCGAGAGCGAATGTCGAGAATGATAAAATTGCCGGCGAGAGGTTCGCCGAAGTGGTGCGGTGGGTTTACTCGGTGGCAACTGAGCGCGACGTCGTGACCATGGACACGCTGGTGTCCGAGAGCGTGTCCGTCAAGGGAGGCAACAGAAGCGCCCTCGGGCACCGCGGAAACAGCCAAAGTCACCATGGGCGGAATGATGATGGCAGGCGGCACGATGAAAGGGACGATGGACATCGTCAAAAGCTCAAGTGCGTTGGTGAGGATGGGTGCGGCGGGCTACAGCAACATGGGCAACTGCTTCTCGTTGGCAGTGGTGAAAGGCAGCAATCGGATAACTGGATTCGCAGTGGCCGCCAGGTTCCTCGGCTGTCAACATCCTGAACCTGATCTCGGCCTCGATCAGCGCGCACAGGAACAACCCGTCGCAGATAGAAAAGCACTGGCAGGAGAAGTACAGCGACTTGAAGTTGCACCTGATCGGAATGGCGAAGATCAACGATTACTTCGAGAGAAATAGGAATTAGATGATGGGTATCCACCCCCTCGATACGTACGGCAAGGTCTCAGAGTACACGATGGGGGCTCAGCATACGTGGTTCCCGCTCGTACCGCGACCGACCACCCCCGATTCGTACTTACACTTGTACCCGTATCACCCGCGCAAGAAACGATTCCACCCAGCTATAGCATATTTCATATACCGTAGAATACACTCGTATAGTCATATAGTAGTATATTAATAAAGTAGTACATAGTAGTATAGTAACATAGTAGTATATAATAGGGTATACAAAGTATATCGACTCTCGTGTAGGTGAACCCCAACTTATGGAAATTCGTGCTAAGGAGGGGACACACGGAACCCGACCCCCACCACGTACTCTGAGACATTACTGTGTAGACACACACACGCAAATATACACTCTGATACATTACTGTGTAGACACACACACATATACACTCTGATTCATTGCTGTGTAGACACACACACATATACACTCTGATTCATTGCTGTGTAGACACACACAAATATACACTCTGATACATTACTGTATAGATATATACACACTCTGAGACATTACTGTATATATATACAGTGAAACGTCACTGTATACACACACAGTGAAACATTACTATATGTATACAATGAGACCTCACTGTATAGACACGAATTGACTGCGTTTTTCAGGAACCGCGTGTAAAGACGCACATTTAGCAAACCGTAGATTGGCTTTTCCCCATTGATTTAGAATTAGACGATCAGGGCTGTGAAGTGAGACCATTGTGTAGCTGCTCTTCCCGAGCTGTCAATGCTCTGAGACGTGTGGAATGGTTCTTGTGCTGGTCGCCTTTTGGCGTCGTTCTCTGGTCTCCCATTGCTGGTGAGACTAGGCCCTAAAGAAGGCTGCTGCCTCTGGTGTAGGCCATTCAGTTACCAAGACAATGGCATGTAACATTGTAGTTACATTATTATAAAGACAATGTCTACTAAGTAATAATATATTATACTGTCTACTGACACTGGTAGTGAGACAATGGTGGTGAGACTAGGCCCTAAAGAAGGCAGCTGCCTCTGGTGTAGGCCAATCAGTTACCAAGTCAATGCCATATAACGTTATAATTACATTATAATTAAAGATAATTTATACATAAGTGACAGTATTATTATCCTGGTCTACTGACACTGGCAGTGAGACTAGCCCCTAAAGAAGCCTGCTGCTTGTCACTCGTGTAGACCAATCAGTTTCCAAGACACTGCCATCAATATACGACCAGAGACATGGATTTTGTTTGCCTGGTCACCACAAGTTCCGTGTGGTGGTAAATGCAGACAGTTGATTCCTTGCAAAAGTTTTCTGTTTGGTGTTTGAACATCTAAACACGACTTCCTGCTGTTTCACTACCGCCAGAGAGGGTACACAGCACCCATTCTTAGCTGTTCACAACGAGCGGCGTATTTCGAATAATCATTCAAACACTATGCCTAACCCCAACAACAACATCGATATACAGGGTGCTTCAAATTTGTTTACCACTTATATGGGACTATCGTGTTTAATGGAAAAAGAGCGGATAATAATGGACTGTAAACACAATAACAAATGTAATGTTAATAGCTTCAAAAGTCAAAGAGTCTCCCACTTGTTCGCCATCGTTGTCAACGCGCGCCTGGAATCTTCTCCAGATGGTCTCCAGAGGCACCGCCTACATCACTGTTCACACGTAAATAGTAAAACGATTGAATGATAATTAATTTACAACCCAAAACAATAATATCATATACACACACACGTGTACACCCACACACGTGTACACACACCCACACACGTGTTAACCCACCCACACACACGTGTACACACACACCAAACGTGTGCACACACAAACACGTGTACACACACACAATTACACCCACCCATACACACGTTTACACACACCCACCCACGTGTACACACCCGCTCACATGTACATACCCACACCACACGTTTAAACACATCCACTTACACGTGTACACACACACGTGTACACACACACACGTGTACACACACGTGTACACATGTGTACGCACACACCACACATGCACACACACACGTATGCACACACCCACACATGCACACACCCACACAAGTGCACACACATCATCTTCTAAACCTCTGTGTGTGTGTGGTAACTTTTATGTTGCTTATACCTTTAATTTGTGTAACCATTTCTTGATTTTTGCTTCCTGTTTTAGATTTTGAGCTGACGGGTTTCATGTTGACGTTGCTCGTCCAATTTATATTCACATTCCTCGTTGCTTTTAATTCATTCTTATTATCTGACGCATTTTTAATTCGCTGTAATATGTAACAACAATGAATATCGCCATGCATACGATGTAACCCTGAATGAGATTATGCAAGGATAATTATCGTATTCAGCACAGCGTTGTGAGTTGCAATGAGCATGGATGAAGATCAACATACAACTGACATTGTCAATGTCGAAGGCTCGCTGCTGGCAGGAGGTCACGGGACGGACCCTGCAGGTGCCATGGGTTGTATTTCTGTGCCAGGCTAAGTGCAGGAGGAGGTCACGGGACAGACCCAGCAAGTGCCATGGGTTGACCGACTGAGATGACTTTCAAATACACTACCTATGCCCCCTAAGTGCCAACTTGCTGCGCTTTATCTGCCCGGCACTCTGCTCGTTGTTTTGAGCGTCGCACCTCTGCCCTCTGCTGTTACTGGAGGGAGACTGCCTCCAACTGCCCAGTAGCAGCGTCCTTCACGAGCCTCCTCCACAGAGGCCGATCTTAACACCGCTGGTCCCAGTCATTGGCAAGTCCACTCAGCTCCACGTCCTCCTGTACCACATGACTCCATCTCTTCTGTAGCCCATGCCGCGCCCATTTAGCCCCCTCGGTCCGGCCGAACAAAAGCTGTTTGGGCATGCGGTGATTGGGCATGCGGGCCTGCCGGAGGAGCTCACCGATGGGACTTTGTCCAGATCTTTCAAGGATTTGTAAGCTTCTCACACAATCCAGCCTGCAGGTTAAACCTTGCATGGGTCGTAGGCAGGGCAACCTCAATATTTCTAACTGGCGAAGATGTACAATTATGGGTGGGGGGGGGGTCCACGTTTCTCAAGCATAGAGAAGGGAGGGAATGACCATGGCCGAGGAGACCTGGAACTTTGAGATGTAGTTAACATTTTACTACGGGCACCCAACATTTGGCCAATATTATGACCTCTAAGCTGTGACATTCCATGTGAAAAGTACGTGCACCGCTTATCGCAAATACTAATCATGGTTTATTAATCAATAAAAGCCTTTGTCCAATCACCTCGTCCTTTTTGATGTACTGTGTGACCTCTTGCTGTGACATATGTTGTTTTGTAAACGCACTACGTAGTGTATAATTTACAATTTTCAATGGGTGCAATTGTGAACAACAGACATTTTAACACGTAGGCTGTCGCGATCAATATAATCCATAAAATAGTTGTTAATGTTGTGGATTTGCTCTCCAACACACAACCGGTGTAGTGATGTACGATTATACAACACTAAACACTACACTGTACACTACACTATACTGTACACTATATTATACACTACACTATACACTAAACTACTATACACTACACACCACACTACTATACTCTACACTACTATACACTACACTATACACTACACTACTATACACTACACTGCACTACTATGCACTACACTACTATACACTACACTACTATACACTACACTACTATCTGCTAGTGCTGAACTAGTGTGGTGGGTTCCAAGGAGGCACACACTTGAACTGTGAAGCAACACGTTTTATTATAACACCCAACAGGGAAACTGCTTAACACACTCCTAGTTAACTAGACCTCAACAGGTGTAACTACATAACCGAGTCAGGTCAGGAACGTACTGCCTGACCCACGATGCCGAGCGTGACGATCGAAGACCCGAAGATCGTCCAAGAGACAGCCACGATGTCTCCCGGAGACCTCTCCTTGATCCTCCCTCCTTCTGGAACTTCCTAGAAGGTCCCCGTGGGAGCTTGACGTGTCCCTCCAGCCCCCCCTTTTGCCCCCCCCCTCGCTACCCCACGCCAGTCACGTGCCCTCTCGGGGTCACCCAGTCTGTCACGCCCTCACGTGCCTCTCTCATGACTGTTCTCCGAACCGTGTCCTCTAGGGCCACGCTTCCACGCCGCAGCTGCTCCGGTGCCAGAGAGAGGCTTGAGGCACACAATTCCACCTTGTAATCGGCGGCCGGCCCTACCAGTGACTTAATTTACGTCACTACACTGGTAACGCATTGGCGCGGTCTGTTTACGTGACACTAAAACTTACTGATTGGGTGTGTCGGGTGATGGCGGGTTTAACGACACAAGATTTATACATTTACGCGATCTGACCCACAACAAATCTCTATTGTGAACAATAACCATGTCAGACGTAACATCTACATCAGCATCATCGTTGTGTGCCACTGCAGCGCAAAGACTCAGTTCGCTACAAGAGGTGGGTGTACACATGTGTGGGTGCGTGTACACGTGTGTGTGGGTGTACATGTGTGTACACGTGTGTGTACACGTATGTGGGTGTACACGTGTGTGTGTGGGTGTACACGTGTGTGTGTGTGTATACGTGTGTGGGTGGGTGTACACGTGTGTGCGGGTGGGTATACACGTGTGTGTGGGTGGGTGTATATGTGTGTGTATACTGTTGTATATATTGGGTCTTGAAAAATTAATAAAAATAATAAAAATTAAATTAAAATTGAGAAATGTGTAATTATGCTAATTATGTTATGCTAATTGGGAATGTGTCATTGTATTAAGTGTATGCAATTATGCTAATGTATACAAGTATGATAATTAGGCTCTGCCTCGTTGTCTAGGGTTGTATTATCAATCTGGATAATACAATGAATTGTATGAAGTTATTCAAGTGTGATGTACAGTAAGTATGCTGATTAAGCTCGGCTTCGTTGTCTAGGGTTGTATCATCAATCAGGATAATACAATGATTCTTGCTTTAACTTTTACTGATTGTTTTAGTGTTTGTCTGGTCTCAAAATTCAGATCTCATCGTAGGATACAGTTCTTATAATTAAGATTATGCATGAACTTAGGAAGGCACCACTCAGACTCTTCTGTGTTAAGCAATTTTAATCTCTAAACAAAAACATAACACTCTAATATGCGAACTCTTATGCTAGGAATTTCAACACAGTACTCCTGGAGATGTCCTACTCATTGATCCGTACATTGAACCCTCAATGATTAAGTTTGTAAAACTGAGTAACAGAACAATCGGTTAATTCTTCAGAGTAAAGCGAGCATTTTCGGCGATGGAAAAAAGTCCTTAAAAATTAATGAGACAATATTCATGCAAACAGTAATAAAGAAACATGTCCCGAAAGCAAATCAGACCTCAATGAATTTATTGGTAAGATTATGCAATTAACGAAATGTCTTGGAACAATGGTGTGCGGCAGTGTGCCTGCTTGTCTAGCAAATTCTTATCAATTGGCTAAGGCTTCGATAAATTCGCGGGTAAGATTATGTGATCAAAATAAATATTTCAACACAAGTCTCCCTGTGAGTGGGTAGATTCGTAACGTAGATGTTTCTAAATGTTTAGTTTCATCAATGAATTCATTGGTACAGATTATGCAATTAACAAAAAGAATTACTAAAATATTTCTAACGACCATATCCACATAACTCGATGGGAAGCAATGCTTTTCACGATCAGATACGATTTGGCGCACCACCTCAGGATGGCCACGCTTTTTGAAAAACAAAGATAACTTTGGAGTACTCTTATTAGTCCTGATATGTGCGTTATGTGTGGGTGGGCGTATTGTTTCCTTGCTCAACTCTTTGTGTTAAGCAGACGCCGAGGTGGCGTTCCTTGTACCCATTATGCCTTGGTTCCCTGCTGGGCAATGAGTCGTGGGTGTGTGAGTGTGGGCGTGTCAATCACACGGCTCTCTCTCTCGTGGCGGCAGCTCCTCCGCTGCTGGATGAGCTGAGTCGGCACGACGCTTGTCTTTGAAGGTGCTCGATCGCGCTCGCAGCTTGTTCGCTGGCCGCTGACATCCCCGCCCGGTGGCGCTGGTTGCACGCTCTCTCCTGCCCTGTGCTCTCTGGCGATGCACGATTGCTCTTGCAGCTCGTTCGCTGGTTGCCGATGCTGTGCGATGCTCGCTTGGTTGATGCTTGGCGCTTTCCGCCCTTCCTCGAGGTTGATTGCTTGATGTTGCTCGTCACTCTTTCTCTCGTGCTGAGCTGCTGATGGGAGCTGGCACTCAATGTATAATACAACTTTTAACGATACTTCGTCTGTCAGCGCCGACCTCGTACTCGGTGACACATCGCTACTCTTCAAGCCTCGCCATCCTTGGTCGTTTGCCGCAGCAAGACTCTATCTCTGTTGACTTCGTAGACTCGTGGTTTCTGCCGATGCATCTCCCTATCGATGTGCCTGTCACGGGGGCAGATTCCCGAAGCCTGCCACTTGCAGAACTGAATTATGTGTGTTGTGTCCCTGCTTATATCTTTAAATTTTCTCCCCTTGCCTCGCCTTCTCATAAAAGACCGGAATTCCTTTGATTTCGCTCTCAGCTTGTGGGGGCAGTTGTTTGTCCGGTGTACGTGTGTGTGTATCTTCTGATTTATTAAGCAATCTGTTAAGTCTCAACAAGGCCTGGTTCCTGTCCCCTTCCTCAAGCCACCCTTTTATCAGTGGAAACAGATGCTCCACATTGCCCCCAAGTGCGTCTTTCCAGTCCTCCAACCCTCTGCAATAATTAATCTGGAAGGTGGGGGGGGGGGGGTCCCCCTGTCCGGTTGCGTTCTCCCCCATCTTCCTTCACGGTGGGGGTGTTACATTTTTGTCTCTCTAAGAGAGGGGCACCGTCTCCGTCTCTTGAAGTGTGACCTCCCATTACCATGTTTTCCATTCATTATTATGGGTTGTAAGCTGAGAGAAAAAGAAACATTATTTTCCACCTCTTAGTGTGTATTCCTTTTTGCGGTGTTGACTCTTTAAGTGACTCAAGGTATGTTTTGAGCACTGTTTACAGTACGCGTGGTTTGGAATTTCTTCATGGTGTTTGATATCTCAAGGGGAGGCGCCCTCCCTGCATGTGTGATTACTTGCTACCACGTGCTTCTGGAAGACAAAGGTGGTTGGGCGGCTCTGATTCTGTGGAATACATATTATCTTGGTCGTGTGTAATTGACCTGTTTCGCATTATATTTCTTCTGGATGACCCTCGGTCTAATACTTCATAATTATTATTTGATTTATGTTTAACCAAGATTTGTGATCTACCATAGTTGTTACCACAGGTATTCCGAGGGTTCCCTATCTGTATCCAGGGATCCGTGCTTTTTATTCTAGAGTAATATTTTTATATCCTGAGGTTGGAGATATAAGCTTTCTTGACTGCTGGAATTCATATTCCTTGGTTCTTTTGGTAGAAAGATACAATAAGAAACAATATATGAGGTGAATAAGGGTGAAATTAAATAAGAAACAATAAAAGCCACTAATGTAGACTGCAGTCTATAATTTCGATTTATTCTTGTTGCTAAGTTTCGAACTTTTACCGAAGTAAAAAAAAAACGCCAGTTGTAACGTCCGTTTGCCATGTTCTGTGTCTGCGTTTTATGCCCCCCCGCACCCCTTGCACCGGGGTTTTTATTACATTGTATGGATTATCTCCAGCTGCCTTCTTGTATGGCTTGTGAGGGCAGCGGGGTGAGGGGTGAGGGTTTTTGTTATTTTTTTTTGTGCCCCACGCTACCCCCCGATTTATTATAAAAAAAACATGGGCAGAATTATTCTTAATATGAATTTTTGGAAAAAGGCCTATATAAATACAACAGTCCCATGTAAGTGTTAACATTTTTTTGAAGCACCCTGTATATGGCAATGTGTACGTTAACTGTAATTAATTGTATATGCATGTGTCTACGTGGTTACTAATGATTGCCCTATAATCAAAAACACCTACAATTAGCAGGTTCCTCGAGTATTTCTAAGTATGAATGCCCATTTTTTAACTACATCCTATTTTATCACCACCCTAATTGCTGCCAGTATAGAACGATGTTGAAGGTTTTGGCATTCGTATTTTACCAATTGCTCTTTTGTAGCAGGATGCAGCTTCCACGATGCAGCGATCTCTACGTGCAACACCTCAAAAAACCAGCGCATGAGTGCATCGAATTTGTCATTACAGTGGGCGTCAAACTTCCACGTTTTGAACTCCGTGGCCTTTGCCTTGGACCACTTCATGCAATTGTCTCCCCAATAGACTAGCGAATCATCCTCGTATAAATTGCATGGCACTGCTGATAACTGTTTGGTGTCTCTGTCATGCGTGCCGTGAAGGCCACGCGGCTGGTGGCAGCTGTGGTGCACCTTTGTGTCGCCATCGTTTTCGTCGTGACCCCGTGACCCCCAGCACAGAGCTCCACACCAGAAGCATCGTGCCGTGCAACCGAGCCGATTTTGGACCCTCTCGTCTGTTGACGGCCCCACAAATTTCACGCTGTCGGGGTCTCCCTTTGCCTCGGCGTCATTGAGCACTTGCAGGACGCTCTCACGAAGTACAGATACATCCATTTGCGATACATCTTGTTCGTCTAAGCAGCTTTTGTATTCGAGGTCTTCGGCATTGGTCAGGTAATAACGAGTGAATTTCTGCACTGATGTGATGTCCTGACAGTTCCGGATTTCCTGAACGACAAGCTTCAGTTCAGCAGCGTATGTCGCCTTAAACGCCTCGGTCGTTTTATCACAGATGTGGCTGTCGACCCTCTTGGAGAACCACTTTTCGATCGTGGAATTTGGATGTGCGAAGTGCTGAAGCGCTTCTGCGGTTTGTTTCTTATTGATCTGGGTGGCCAGATGCTCAAAGTAGGTGAGGCGCACCTTCTCACTATTGGTTGTCCAGTGCAAATTCAGCACGGCTTCTACCTTTTTGCGATTTCCAGACTCAATCGATCTCTGTCGAATAGCGTCCAGGAGATATTTGGCAATGATTCTCCCTTCGGAAGCAGATGAAAATCCTCCTCGAAGTTGAATGTCTATTATTGCTCTGTACTCCTCCCTCTTTTGTTGCAGTATTGCAATTGGGCAGTGTTGTTTTTCCCATTTATTTTGATAGACTGAATTGACTTTTGCAAATTTACGAAGAGCGAATAAGTGGGCTTCCCACTTGATATCTGTCGACAGTTTAACGTGTCGTTTTTCTTCATAAAGACGTATAGATGTTTCTACTCGTTTTTTAAGTTCACGAATCATACCATTTTCAAAATGCTCAGCGTTCTTATCCATGAATATTTGCTTCGGCAATGATTCTAAATCATTCTCTAGCCAAGAGTGATTGTCATTTGTGCTGTCATCGGTCTTTTTCGATGACCATGGCCATCGCCATGACCACACATTTTTATGTTCCGGTACTGCTTCTGCTTTTCTTCCAAATGACTTCAGAGGTGTCTTGTTACCGTATCGTGCAGATATATCAGGCGCTTGCTCATATTCATCTTCTAGCTCCTCTTTGAGTTTTCTATCATCTGGTACATCCTTTCTCATCGAAGTAGCGACCCCGGAGAGACTCGAGAGAATATTCTCGACAATAATGCTGCGATCCTTATCAGATAAATTTCCAGCTGGCCGTTTTATCAATTCAGTTTTAAGGCATCGCTTAATTTCCTCCAAGAACTGCTCCGAGCAGCCTTGACGCACCATGGCGGCGTCCAGTATTTGTGTGAGGGTCGTCAAAGTGGACTGGCGGATGCGCTGTACATAGTTGTTAACTGTTTTCCTTATCTCGAGCTCGCACTGTGTTTCTATTGCATATGCCTGTAAACTAAAATTTTTTGTAGAGACATCTTCACATGCCTTGCATCTGGAAGTTTTAAATGCACCATCCTTACAGCCATAAGGCACAGCATTAAATTCATCTTTGAATATTTTCAACAGATTTTGGTAAGCCAGACGTGGAGTTTTTGCATTCCAATCCTGCACCTCGTTGCGTATTTGTCTTTTCAGCTTCTCTGTGTGCGAAAAAAATGCCGCATCAGCAGCCTCTTTCATGGCTGCAATTCGATGGCCACGATCAATGAATTCGTAAATTTCTTTGATGTTTTTGAATCGGACGGCAAAATTCTCCTTCAAGACGCAACTCCAAAAGCTCTGTAAACGCATTGTGCCATTCTGAGAACAGCACCGAGCCACCCGACTTTGCGCAAGTATCCAGGATAGTTTTATACAGATCCAGCACGTCCTCGTGGTACTGCTCCGATGGGGGAGATCCAGCGCTAGCCCCGTTCTTGAACGGGCGGAATTGTTTCAGAAGCTTCCCATTCTGGATCCTGTCAGTCAGGTTCTTCAAGCAGCTGACATCGGCAATGCCCGTGTCAAAATCCTTCTTGTCCGTAAGCTCCAGTGCCTTTTCAATCGCTTGACAGAATTGGTTTTGTGCCGATGACATCATGGCCGAGTTCCTCTCCGTGAGATGCTGAACCATGAGAATGTCCGGCGCCATCTTAACCTTGCCAAGCCGAGCCATCGCGATGATCGCGATCTGCAAGATTTCAGTCAAATCCCGCATGTACTCCCCGAGTACGTTGATGAGCGTGAGGTTACTCACACTCATTACGAACGTTGTGAGTATTCGGTCCTTTTGTTCGTGTTGTCGTCGTTCATTTTCTCTGGCGCCCCAAGTCCCTCGGTGTCAATGAGCACGATCGCATCGTGTTTGAGCTCCTTCACGAGCTTCTCCTCCAAGAATAGCAGCCTCATGAAGAGACCGCGGGTGCAGCGGCCAACGGAGATGGCAAATTTGCAAGCGAAGAGGGCGTTCAGGAGTGTGGATTTCCCAGACGACTGCAATCCCAGTATGGAGATCACGAATATGCGGAGTGTTGGGAAGTTGCGGGAAATGTGTTGAAAGATGTCTGCCAACCACGCTCCGGGCATTTCGCTGTTGTCACCGTTAAGCAGTTCAATGGAATGGCCTTGGGTGAGCAACTCTCCATACAATTGTGGAAATGTTAATATGTCTTCATTTTTACTTTGACCCCCTTGTACTATCTCATAAATATGACCCAACTCACGAAAGAAATGCTCCAAACCGAGACACATATGGTCTAGCTCTTTCAAGTTATCATGAATATCCTTTTTAATTTGATTAAAAAATGTCTTGTCTTGATCCTTTTGAACAAGTTGTCGTTGTAAGTTCTCAATTTTAGTTGCAACTTTTTGTCTGATATTTGAGGATTCTGCATTGGATAGGAGTGAGATATCCCTCTCAAGTTGGGACATGGCTTTTAGTCTTTCAGAAAGAGGCAGGCTCAAAACTGCTCCATAATGTGTCATCAGCTGCTGGAGTATCTCGTTGTCGCCCCATAATCTAATCAGATTTGTTCTTTGACCGGTTATATGCATTTCAAAATTCATGGCTCTTCTAATTTCTTTACACGTCTTCTGTCGAACGAAATCTACCACTCGTTGTGATTCGACACATTCAATCACGTGTGCAAGAGACAGTGGGTCGCATATTTCGTAGCTTTCAAGCTTCCGGTTGAGCGTCATTTTTTTAGAAGGAATTTTTAGAATTTCTCTGAAAATGGAGCGCACTTTCTCCAAAGTGGCATCATTTGTCAGCGTTGATGTCTGAATGATGATTTCGTCCGCTTCGTCGCAGTTTGTTGAAGGATTGACAAGAAGGAAGAAGGATTCATCTTCAGAACGTGCATGTTTGCCAAACTCCTTATTTCTCTCTTCCAAGATGTTCTTTGTTCCTGGCATTATGAAAATCAGGTATGCTGAGGTGAACTTCTTCAGGAACTCGAGAGTTGTTGGGTGCTTGAGGGCATCGCCATGGAGGTTTGCAAGGAGCACAATCTCCTGCTGCCCCTGCGAGTAAAACTGCTGCATGACAGATTCCCACAGGCTGGCGCTGCACGTCTCCTGTGTGAGCCACGTGAACTCTACCGTCCCGGCCAGGGTCAGAGGTGGCCCTCCCTGGGCTCCGGGTTCCCCACACGATGAGAACATGTTCTCCACGGCCATGAGCTGGTTGAGGATTGTGCTCTTCCCGCAAGAACTGCTGCCGAGTCTAACAGCCAGGATGAGTCTGAAAGGGCTGAGGAACAGGTGGTTCTCAGCAATGACCCCAGATTGAGACTCACACTTTATCGTGTTGCCGACAAGCAGCGGAAGCATCACCTTCAACTTGCCTGCAAGTTCCAGATCTGGCATCACCAGCGGGAGCGCCATTGGGAACTTGGTCATTATCTGCAGCATTTCTTGAACGACTGTGCAATCAGCAGCGCTGAGCAGAGCAACGATGCAGTCAAGTCGAGACAGGGAAGCTTTGTTCTGCTGTCGTGTTGGCCAAGCATTGCGCGCATTAGCAATGTTAGCTGTAAAATTGGGACGTTTACAGGCACGGCAAATGACGGTTGTAGTTTCTCTTTGACCCAACCTACAGATCGCATCTGCTCGAAGAATATTGCCTCCCCACATTTTCAATGTCTGCATTATATATGGCAGAGCTTTATTCATGATTGCTGATATTTGTTCAGAGGAAACATCTAGTTGATTGATAATTCCACGCACAATCACGTACTCAAAAGGTGTGGTCATTGGCAAGGATTTGCCAAACACTGAGTGCCAATCTTCACGCACCATCACAACCGCTTTGTTAGCTTGCACATCAACCTTCACATCGATACCTACATCTCTCTGCATTTTATGTAATTCGGCTGACTCCTTCGCCTTGTTAAACTTCTCAATATTGTCCACAGCATCCTTGAATGTCTGCAGAGACCAACCCTCACTGAATTGTTTATCCTTTTCTTTCCAATATATCAGAGCGTTCGCTTCTTTTAGTGATTTCTCCAAAGTTGCATCATTGGCAATAGATTGAGCAAATAATTGAGTGAAATGTCGTGGGATTTCTTTCAGAGTAATGATGTTCTGAAACGTGCTCAAAGCACTTTCCAAATTTGAAAAGTAATTTGGCATTAGAGACACACTTTTGCATGAGAACTTATCTTGCAATTCCCTTGGAATAAATGTGCGATTCATGAAGTGCATCGTTTGAAGTACGTCGTAGTCCTCGATTACACGTCTAATGAGGTACTTGAACGAAGAATTGGTCCAGAGATCTTTCCATTGATTTACTTGCAGTCCAGAGATTGACAGCAGTTGCAGCACCCCGACAACTGCCTTGGGCTCATTTGCCTCTTTGAGTTTGTCAAAAGCAAGCTGCAGCATGACCAGGTGACGATTATACTGTAATTTAGATAGATGTTGAAGCAGTGCGTGAAGCTGATGTTTCTCTATGCATTGAGTAATGGATGTGTTCGAGCTGGAATATTGAGAGTTACGCAAATCAATTCGACCAACATATATATTTATGGCATCATAGGCATTAAAGAAATATGAGTCATTTTGATACATCCGTTTCAAAATTGAAATCAGTGTTTTTACATGAGTCATTCCGTCTTGGTTTTCAGAACTGACCACATAGTCATCTGCTCTTGCTAGAAATACGTAGCATTTATTATGGAAATCACTCTCCTGCAAACTTTGAATTTCATGAAAATTATATTCTGGGCATTCTGGGTCATCTGTAACTAATTGGATAGCATTGTTAACACTCATTATACTATTATCAGTGCACGGACCAGATGTCAACTGAAATTGCTGTATGATTACTTTGGCTGACTTTACCTTGGTTAAGAAATTATCACGTGAACTTAACCACCCTTGCAGCGCAGTACTGATCAACTCACAATCTTGCAGCTCTAGACGGTCCTTGCCAAAACTGCAATCCACGTTTCTCCATCCATTTTTCTCGAGAATACTGCACATTTGTGGATTATCCCTTATGGCAAAATGTGTAACCATTGCAATTACATACATGTCTACTCGCGATAGACAACTGCGTACAATGTGCAGTGCATCGGTAAGCTTCTCATCGACATTATCCTCAAACGACTGCATCCTTAGGTGATTATAATTGTGCTCATAATGATTAGCTGGATCCATGAGTTCCATGGCCTTCACTGCGTAAATGGCTCTGTTGTGATAGATAGAACACTTCAGGGACGCTGGCGACAGGTAGGACAAATCGGGTTCATTGTGTTCAGAGGTTGCTGCTTTGTTGAAGAGATCGACAAGAATAATAATGTCCAGATGGTCTAGACATATGGCTTTCACTTTCTTGTCACGAAGGACAAACAATAAGGGCGCTTCGTGCTGCTTGGCAATGTCCAGCCTACCCACCACCCACTTTCCATTGGCACAGGCGAGTCGTTTCAAGTTGTCGCGAAGGCCGACTATGGATTCATATGCAGTATCCACTGCATCGATTGGGACAAAAAACATCCAGTGGGAGTCGCCACTCCAGAGGCACTCTAAAGATTCCATGTAGGAGGAGGCAATGTGTACATCTCCTATTTTCAATAATTCTACCAGGCGATGAAGGTCTTTAAGTTCGTTCGTCTGAAGCGGCAAAGTGATGTTGAAGCGTGAAGCCATGATCGTGTAAAACTGATTCTCCACTGACGAGTCTGTGCTCATGGCGGCACTGACAATCCCAAGGATGAGTGGAATATCAGCCGCGTGATAACACTTTTGGTGTTCTCTAGCCTTAATTGTAAGAGAGAAGTTGTCAGAAATGGAAGGCAGTGCAATTCCCACATCAATGTTATGCTCTTTCAGTGCATAACTGATTTTAAAGAGGCGATGGAATACTCCACTGGAAGGGCCATCCTTTGTCTGCAACAATATTTTAATGTTCGACTCTGTGTTCATCCATTCGTTCAACAATGCACGGTTGGTAAAGGTGCAGATTTCAGCCTCCATTTGAGTTGCATCTTTCTCATGGATTCCATCAAGTTCGTGTTTTCCATCCATCACGAATTTGTCCACTTTTGTGTATATGTCAACTGCGCTGAATTGAGACATTTCATATTCTTCTATAATCTTGTGAAGCTCAATGGATGTGATTACTGCCTGCTTATAGTCTCTCAAAGCCTTACAGGCACAAATAAAGAACGATTCGACATTTTTGTTTAGTATCTTCTCGTATTGTGAAATGTCTTGAGAGAGTGGGGAGCTGGAGTCCGAGAGGACGCACTGGAGACGATGCTCTTTCTCAAGCACCCGTCTCTTAATGCATTCGGGCTGACGAGAATCCTGCAGGGAGATGAGCATGGCTCTGAAGTCGCAGAGTAAAGTTTCGCTGATCTGCATGTAGAGCTTCTCCACGTCAATGTCCAGGAACTGAGCAATGGGTACAAGCACCCAGCGTATCGGCACTCCCGTGATGTTTGCGTCACTGAACTTATAATGTCGCTCATTGGCAACAGACACGTCTATATTTTCCACCAACTCAAACATCTCCTTGACCGTGGACGGCTGCCGCTTCATTGGCGGCTTGGAGTGAATGTCGATCTGCGTGCTGTAGTCATTCGCCTCGCTCGTGTCCAACCACTCGAGCTGAGCTTTCAGTGAGGCCGTTACTTTGCCAAAACCGAGTTTCCCAACCGCACCGCCGCTGATGCCGTCGCTCGTTTTTGTCTCATTCCGCGTGACCAGTATGTGCGCGTTCACTTCCGCGCCCAAGATCACCCCATACGCCACGTGTGTTGCTTTGATGCGTCTTTTCATCAGCTGGCTGTGTACGTGCTCATCGATTTCCGTTTTAGATATTGGAAGCAAGGAGATTGAAAAGTTTTCCAAATTGTACTGACAGATTAGTTTTTCTTCGTTCACGCTTCTCACAGATCTATTGCTATACTCTGCAAATCCTTCAATTTTAATGAGCCCACATAGCAGCTCCAGGCCCATGGAGCCTTGGGCTTTGACCATTGTGATTTGGTCTTCGGTGCCCTTGACGTGTTTCAAGCTGTACTCAAGCTTCTTGAGTGGGTGGGCAATTAGGTGGTCACATTTGAGTTGTGTCTTGAACAAGTTTTGATGGGTTGTTTCAGAGCTATGACAATTCCAGAGCTCACCAAGGCCACTGACACCATTCTTTACAATCGGTAGAACAATGGTGACGTCTTCCATGTACACGTCACCTTTCTTGGCAATATTTCCACTTGCCTAAAAAATACAAATGTGTTAAATGGTCAATGAACGTAAAATTCCGTTTAACAAGTAGTAGTAGTTGCAGGGCTTTTGCAACCAATATTATCCATAATAGAGGGTATTTTGGGATAAATTGCGTAAATATACATGTGTGTTGGTAAACCCACCACAACCATCAGCTGACACAGCCAATCGGTGAGGGGTTTGTCACGGAAAAAAAACGTGCTGACAATTCGTTACTAGTTTAGTGCTAACCGGTTGTTGAGTTATGGAGGTTAAACCCACAAAACACATTCGAGTAACCGCGACGTTTCACAAGGAATCACAACAACCAGCCTCTATGATGGATAACATAATCATACAAATATACGGAGAGATAATACAAACAAAGACCTGTAATTACCTGTGATGGCTGCCCATCTGTTTGCTTTTCTGCGGTCTCCATATCGAGACACCAATGGAAGTCTGTAACACCCAGAAACGCCACAGGCAAGACGAACGTTATTCGCATGGACATGGATCGGCACTCCGATGGGACCAACAATACATTTGACTGGTGGATGTGTAACGGGTTCCGGAGACACTTGTAGAGGTAACTTGTTTATTACAATCCAACACTCTCCAACAGTCCAACTCTCCAACAGTCCAACTCTCCAACAGTCCAACACTCCAACTCTCCAACAGTCCTGATACTCTGTTACAGCCTAGGTACACAGCCTAGGTACACAGCCTAGGTACACAGCCTAGATACTCTACTCTGGCTACGCTCTGGAACTCGCCCTCACAAGGTCGTAGAGTCGGGAGTTCCAGAGTCCCACCACTGGCTCTCACAGCGTCCCAGGGTCCTCCGATGGCTGGTCTTGGGTCTTGGGTCTTGAGCTACGACTGGACCCCGATCGTCCAGGGAGCTCCCCTTTTATGCCTGGTCCAACGAGGGGTGGGGCCGTGTGCGCCACCAGACATCCCACAGAGCACACACAGCCCCCCCCCCCCCCCCCCGTTGGCGGCGCCAATAGGCTTAAGCGTCTGAGAACCCAACGCCTGGTGCCAAGAGGCTTAAGCGTCTGGACCCGCCTGGGAACCCAACGCCTGGTGCCAAGAGGCTTAAGCGCCTGGCCCACCCAGGGTCCCAGAGCCCCCAGCAGCCCCTCCCTTCTTATGTCACTACAGATGGATTGTGTACAGATTATTATTTAGTTCTAAATATATACTTTCAAGCAACCACAATCATTGACATGACTGCACAAAACCAGACAAGCAATGCAAGATTAATAAGTGTAACATTTTTTTTTCTGGGTAGTAAGTGTTATTTCCTACTTGCGTATGCCTCAAACGTACAGAAAATGGCTATTATTTCCCAGAATGTTTGCTTTTGTGACCAGGACAGTGATATTTTGAAATTTACCTATTTTCCAGAACATTCCAGATAGATTCAGTGCTGAGTAAACTTGGAGTAATTTCTAGAACATTCGAGAACTCTCCAGTGATATAAATAGTAGTATAAATACAGGGGCCTTAAGCCCACCAGTTCAGAGGAAGCGTCACCAACCTTTTTGCAGCTTCTTCATCCGTCAAGATGGGCTCTGCTTCTGCCACAATGTGACCAGTCTGTTCGAGGCAATCGGATTTGCCTGTAACCAGAATGAGTGACACCTCTTCATTGACAGCTCATCCAGGAACCTCAAAGCCGTGCTGTTCCATAATGGTGTAATGCGAGCAAGGATTGAGGGGGGGCGGAGTCTGGGTCACGTGGGGAGTGGGTGGAGTTAGGGTCACGTGGGAGAGAGGATTTAGGGGGAGAACCGGAAGGGGAAAGGGGAGTTGAGACGGAGTGAAACAGGAGGAGGCCACGCTGGGCAGGACAGAGAGAGTGGCGCGGTCGCCACGCGGTGGGAGACGTCGACACCGTCAGCCATCGGTGTCAGACGCAGAGAGCTAGCGGCTGTGGGAGGCTAGCTGTATACGGGGCAGCAGTGAAGCTAGAGAGCGGAGCAGCGGTGTGGCTGCAAGGTGGAACAGCAGGGAGACTGCCTAACGGAGCAGCAGGAAGACTGCATATCGGAGCAGCAGGGAGACTGCATATTGGAGCAGCCGAGTGGCTGTGGAGAGATCGTCGGGAGGGACGCGGGCCTGAGCGAGGACGCCGTGGTAACGAGATTTTACGAACCCAATAAAGGACAACGGAGATCGACATCTGAGAGAGAGTCCTTTATTACAATGGTAACAAGTACCTGTCTCTTCCCCTGGCTCACTCGGTGCACCTCAAAGAGAATTACAACAGCATCAAGACCTTGCTGGATGCCTTGGAGTATGATGAGTACGGCTGGGTGGTCATCAGAGACTTCAAAATGGTGGCATTCCTGATGGGTCTCCAAGGCGGTTTACCAAGTTTCCCTGCTATCTTTGGGACAGCAGGGACACCAAGGCGCACTACCACAGGCGAGACTGGCCACAGCGGATCGAGTTCTCTGTGGGGAGGAACAACGTCAAGTGGGAGCCACTGATAGACCCCCGGAAGATGCTGATGCCACTACTGCACATCAAATTGGGCCTTAAGAAAAAAATTGTCAGAGCTGCAGATAAGGAGTCGGCAGCCTTCAAGTACTTTCAAGACTTCTTCTTTAAGCTGTCTGAGGCAAAGGTCAAACCTGGTGTCTTAATTGGACCACAGATAAAGAAGATCCTGGAGTGCAATGATTTCTCCAAGAAGCTCACTAGTAAGGAGAAATCGTATTGGAACAGCTTTGTCGCAGTGGTTCGTAGCTTCCTGAGCAATCACAAGGTCAAAACTATGTGGAGCTGGTTGAGACTCTGGTGAAGAACTACGGCACAATGGGCTGTAGGATGTCCCTCAAAGTCCATATTCTTGATGCTCATCTTGTTAAATTCAAGGAGAACATGGGAGCGTACTCGCAGGAGCAAGGTGAGCGCTTCCACCAGGTTATGCTGGAATTTGAACGCCACTACCAGGGACAGTTTAACGAGAACATGATGGGAGACTGCATTTGGGGGTTGATTCGTGAAAGTGATTTACAGTATACAGTAATAATTAATCTCGAAAAACTATTCACTTCTAAATCTTTTGTAGTCATTTTGTATTACGTTATGGGAATGAAAATACATACATTCGTCCATTTTCTCATTGAAAATAGGTACATTTCAAAATATTATTGTTCTGGTCACAAAATCTAAGTTTTTGGGGAATAATAGCCATTTTCTATCCTTTTTAGGCATAATCAATTAGGAAATAACACTTACTATCTAGGAACAAAAAATGTGTTACACAGTGTAATAGGCATTCTATTTATAGCCACACACCTACGTTATTATGAACCGAAATCGCAATCAAGTTATAACGTCGAATGCGTGCACCCAATCACCCACCTACTCACTGACCACCTTACCCACTCACCGACCCACTCACTCACCCACTCACTCACCCACTTACCTACTCACCCACTCACTCACTCACCCACTCACTCACTCCTCAGCCCACCTTCGATCCGCCTTAGCACAGTGCATCGATGTTGTGCATTTTAACAGCCACACATGAAATGACTTCCTTGACCAAATAATTTCCCAGTGACCACTCACCTCGTGTTTAAGAGGAAGCAGGAGTGGGGCAAGCCGACATCGTCAGGCAGGTGGACATTGGGGTTCAGGCCGCTTGCAATCCACCTGATAGTTTTACACAATCCACAGAAAAATTCTACGTTAGTTCAACAGATATTCCATAATAATAATATGAATCGTAAAAATACGCTATCCTAAATGCACACTCGGAGCGCTAAAAGCAGTCTTTGTTAAGTATTAATATGCCGAGGCGATGTGTTGTGAGGATGTTATGTAGTTTATTCTTCTCTAGGATCCAAATAATAATTGTGGCTAAGTAATTTGCGTCGACAAGAGGACAAGAGGACAAAGTTAAACGTTCGGAGCGATTTTAAATTAACAGTGGCCAGGGCTTCTGTAGTCGTGGCAAGATGTAGCTACATTCGATTTGCGATGTTTTGTCAACTTATTTTATTCTGTTTCGCACGTAGAAGGCTTTCAATATCATCCATAACACAAGTTTTTTGTCTTCTTGGTTCTTTCGGTAAAGTCACGTTTTTTGGGTTAGATCGCGTAAATAAACAAATTAGTAAGCTTTGTCACGTAAACAGAACATGCCAATTCCTTCCTAGTGTAATAAAGGTCGTGGACGCGACTTCTGGAATCCGGTTTTTATTTGTCTTTTTTTACAACACTCCTTCACACTGCTGACAGACAGCGTGAGAGGGATAGAGAGAGAGACGCACGCATCCACGTGGCAGCCTGGACCCCCGCTCTCGCGTGGCCTCTCCCTCCGTTCGTTCCAGTTCTGACCACGTGTTGTTCGTCTCCACCCCTATTTAATACCCGGGTCACGTGGTACCTTTCCACAAATCCTGGTTAGCCTTTATGGAATCTTTCAGACTCCATCGTAGGCTCCCGGGACCGCGCCCCTGACTCGTCTCCCCATTGGCTGTGGCTAAAGCCAGCAGAACCAATCCTCTACTTACAGCTGTCACCTTTCCATTACGTCAGGGCCACACCCCTAGGCTTCCCCCCATTGGCTATGGACCAGGACCGGCAGAGCCAATCATCATGATGAGTTGTGATCCGTCAGCGACCCAGATATATCCTCACATTACACTAGTATAAAGTACTTAGCTGCACAAACGGAGAGGCAGTCACAAGCGTGAGCATTGTGTGCACCGCAGGGCTGACGAGCAACACGGCTTCTTATTGGCTGAAAGAACGCATCTAGGAATAAGCTCGCTGGCCATTGGTGGAGGGAGTTGAAGGACATCAGACATAACCTCCTGAAGCAGAAGGTGAGAGGTCGGACGGTGCATGCAGCCAATGGGAGATGAGAAGAGGTTGTGACGAGGAACGACGGGGGGAGAGACGTGATTGGTTGGAGAGACATGAGGGAGAGAGAGCGGGAAAGAGAGGGGAAGAGGATCGGGGGGGAAGGCTCAGGGCGCTTTTGATGGTGGAAGTTGACGTGAACGCACGCAGCCGAAGATAATACAATCTTCTCACACCTTTCTTACAGCCAGCGTGTTGGAGTTGTTACACTTGGACAGACCCCATTGTGTTGTAAAGGGTGTGGATTTGCTCTCTTACACACTGGTGTGCTGTACTAATATACTACACTACACTATACACTACACTATACACTAGTGCTGTACTACTAATTAATTGACATGTTCTGTTTACGTGACACTAAACCTTACTAATTGGCTGTGTCGGGTGGTGGCAGGTTTAAAGACACAACATTGATATATTTACGCGATCTAACCCAAAAAAGTGTATTATGGATGATTTCATTCTCAATAACATATTACTGTACTTTTTTGTTGGCAGAGCCATATATTCACAATTATCAACAGCATATTCAATCATTTTGTAAAATTACAAATATAAAGTTTGTTGCAGATGTAGGGGTTATTACGGAGAGAAGGGCGGACAGAAAACACAGGGTGTCTGCACCCACACACGGGTGTCTACATCCACGTCCGCATCCGTTAACCACTGGGGGGCCATGGGGGCTCTGTGATCCCCCATAACCCCGCCCCTCGGAGGGAATTCCTATAAAAGGCAGGGAGCCAGAGAGCTCGGGGCCAGTGTGAAAGAAGCTTACCAGTGAAGTCTGAAGACCGGCAGAATAGGCCCTGGGACTCCCCTGTCTCGCTGCCCTTGTCAGGGCCGAGCTGGGCAAGCCAGCGGCGTGGCCCCAAGAGCTTCCGGACCTCTGCTCTTGTAAGAGCAAGGCCGGCTTAGCTGGGTGCCGGGATCCGTGCTTTACCAGGGCTGGATCAGACAGCCTCCCGTAGCACTATTAGAGGGGGACTGGGAACAGGACAGGAGAATTAGTGCTAGGGGTATTTTCCCATCTAGTACGGGTGAAGGGGCCGTTACCCCTTCAAGTATTGTACTGTCCTTGAGTTTAATAAAAGAGTGTGCCTCGACTCCGTCGTCAGCCTCCCTGGAACTCACTACACATATGTAGTGGGTTCGAATTAGGTGCATACACACACAGATTGGAGGCCACACTATTTATTAAACGGTAAGTAATATAACACTGTACATGAGGTGGTGACCACCTTCCTCAACTCACTAACACTCTGGAACACGACACAGACTGGACCAGGCAGGCAACGGCCTGCCTGGCCCAGGACGACGACCCGGGACTTGAGAACCGATGATGTCGTCTTCACTTCAGAGTACAACAGCCTCGCTCTGCGTTCACACCACGCTTATATCCGCTCCGGCGTGGTCGGCTCCGCCCAGGCGTGGCCTGCTCTGCCCAGGTCACGCCTCCCTTCCCAGGCCACGCCTCCCTTCCCCCACCTCACGGGAAGTCTGGGTCCCTCCACCACGTAACCCCCCAGGCACCCTCTTGGGGCCCCCAGCCCTCGTATGGGCCGACACAGTAGTGACGTCTTATGTCACTACACATATATCAAAGTAACATATGACTATTGCCAATATAAAGTCATGTTAATGTTTGACTATCGGAGACACGTAAAGTCAAGCGGTATTAAACATGTTAGTCCAGGATTATTCTCTGTTGCACTCTACTCCTGTGCTCCCGCGTCAAACATCTAGCCACAGCTACCAGTGTGGGAGAGACACTGATCCAGAATTGTATTGACAAATACCCTGTACATGTAACAAATACAAAGATCCCCTGTGTAGCCTTAACAGACTGTTGGGGCAAGTGCCGTTCATAGCGAGTAGCAGCACCTATGAAGATCAGAACGGCACATGAGGGGGTGGGTGGCCAGCACCACGCCCAGCCGCCTTTGTCTCCCCAGTGGCGATGTTTTCACATCGCACCAGTTAACTGATTTGAGGCTGAGTCGACCTAGGCGAGGCCCAGGACCGGTTCTGTTGATGGCCATGAGCGGGAATGTAACTCAGGCCGCTGGGATTGTTCACGCAGCGTGTATGCTAACTGCTGCGTCACTATTCCCCACGTGTAAACAACATGTAGGTATGTGTACACACACGCATGTGTACACTGGACACAACTAAAACAACTCCAAAAAAACAAATACGTACAGACACCAGAAAAAATGTGCTTGTGCTTTCACACCCTCACTTCAATATACAGGTGTAAAAGCATAGCACTGGCTGCTGGCGACAAAGGGGATTTGCGGTGTACGGCTGTACCGACGTCAGCACACACGAGAGGGGACATCCAGGGGGGATAGGTTACAGAGGGGGGCCCATCGGGAACCCTCTGGTAGGTTCCAGAAAGGGGGCATGGCCGGGGTTAGAGCAAGGCCACTCTGACGATATATGTGGGGGACTTCGTGGCTTCGTGGCTGTTGTTGTGTAGTGACTAACTCAGATATGCTAAGAGTTGAAGGCACTTATTTAATTTAACGAGCACCCTCGGCACAATACACACCCTACGCTGGTACACACTCTTCTGTCGCTAATGTATACACAACTCTACATGTGTTGCTAGCCTATACACAACAAGAGCCATCTAACGCTGACGGCGCTGGACCGAGACAGCCAACTACCGTCCAGCAGCACAATATCGAGTGAAGACAACAGCGACGATGGCGACAATCTTCAACAGGATTCCATTACATACGACATCCCGGAGCTCTCGCTCAGGGCCTCCTTTTATGCTCCCAGCGGGGCCTCGCTCCGCCCCGGCCATGCACCCTCTCTAGAACCTACGAGCGGGTTCCCGGGCTTACCCCACGTGCCACTTCAATAAACTTTCCCCCAGATATCCCCCTCTGGTGCATCACGTGGCCTGCTGACGTCAGGGCTGCTGCAAGCCGCAGATCCCCTTCCCCGCCAGCAGCCAGCGCTATGCTGTTACATTACTTATTCTATGCCACTAAACAGGCATTAAAGATGCAGCCATTAAAGATACCGCTATTAAAGATACATCCAATGAAGATACAGCCGTTAAAGATAAATCCATTAAAGATTAAGGCATTAAAGATGGAGCCATTAAAGATTCAGGCATTAAAGATGCAGCCATTAAACATTCAGGCATGAAAGATGCAGTATTAAAGATGCAGTCATTAAAGATAAAGCCATTAAATAATCAAGCATTAAAGATCCAGCCATTAAAGATTCAGGCATTAAAGATGCAGCCATTACAAATTCAGGCATTAAAGATGCAGGAATTAAAGAGGCAGTCATTAAAGATAAAGCCATTAAAGATTCAGGCATTAAAGATGCAGCTATTAAAAGAATCAGGCATTAAAGATGCAGCCATTAAACATTCAGGCATTAAATATACATCCATAATAGAGGTTTTTTGGTTAGATCGCCATGTAAATATATAAAATGTCGTTAAAACCCGCCACCACCCGACACAGCCAACAAGTAAGGGTTGTCAAGTAAACAGAACATGCCAATTCGTCTCAAGTACAGCACACCGGTGTGTTGGAGAGCCAAGCCACAACTTTTACAATCTGAGTACGACGTTTCGCCAGTAATTACAAATAGCTTGATCAGGCGACAACCTGATTTGTGGACAAGTATTACTGTTTCATTCCTTATATTGAAAATACATGCATTAAAGATGCAGGTAATAACGACACAGGCATTAAAGATACAGGCATTAAATATACAGACATTAAAGATGCATGCATTAAAGATGCAGGCAATAAATATACAGGCATTAAAGATACGGCCATTAAAGATGCAGGCATTAAAGATACAGGCATTAAAGAAACAGCCATTAAAGATTTATCCATTAAAGATATGTGCATTAAAGATGCAGGCATTAAAGATACAGGCATTAAAGATGCAAGCATTAAAGATATAGCCATTAAAGATACAGGCATTAAAGATACAGGCATTAAATATATATATATCCATTAAATATATAGCCATTAAATATGAAGGTGTAAAGGTATTTTTGGGCAGAGATGCGCCATCTCCATGCAATTAGCCGGTAGTACCGGCCACATGCCAATAGGGGGCAGAAGAGTGGCTGAACCCCAGTGATAAGAGACTATGGCCCACAGGGCACAACGGTAACCCCTATGGAAAACTGCATGACCAGAGGTACAGACTGCAGACCCCAGGAGGGAGCTGAGGGATGACATCACCCCCAGGTCCTGCTAGAAAGTTCAGGAAGTAAAGCGTGGCTGGGGAGGGGCGAGCCACGGCCCTGTATAAAAGCTGGACCTCTAAACGGCCGCGGCAGTCGTCGTTCACCCGAATATCATAGAGCCTCCTGAAGAGAAGAGCCCAATGTCAGAGCCGTACCCCTGCATAGGGTTGGCTCTAGCTTAAACCAGTGAAGACCAACACGCTTCACTCAAGAAGGAGTTAGATTAGCCAGTGAGAGGCGTATCAGTCCAGAGGGGCTACCGCCGTAACGTATCGGGTGTGAGGGGCCGTTATCCCTCTGTGTTAAGGATTCATTGTTAAATAAATTCCGTGTTGCCTCAAAGAACTTTCCTCTAGTTACCTATTAAAGATAGAGCCATCAAAGATACAAACATTAAATATACAGCCATTAAAATACAGGCATAAAAATGCTGGCATTAAATATAAAGGCATTAAACATATAGGCATTAAAGATACAGCCATTAAAGATGCAGCCATTAAAGATGCATCCATTAAAGATACAGCCATTAAAGAGCAAGACTCTCATTCACGCGAAGCGTTGTGCATGAAACAACAATAATATAAGTTGTACCCTTTCCGGCAATTAAACGGGAGTGGTGTTGGAATGTTCAAACTACCCAATAGAGACACACACACAACAGGTTCATTGCAAGGCATCGTCAAATCTTGCATTAACCACACAACGTAGTTGTGGTAAAATTGTACACAGACGATGGTTTTGTTAGTTACTATACCAACAGCTAGAAACTACCTCTATGGCCTCGTGGCTGCCTCAGTGGTGTTAGTAGACCAGAGAAGATGGTCAGAAGGTAAACAGCAAAAAGAGTGCTAAGTATCAGCGCACTTCAAGATATAACTGATCAACCTGGGCAATCGGCCGTCTCTGGCGAAAGCCAATGAGTCTCAAGTTCAATGCATATGTAGTGGTGATACGCGCTGGCAGTGGGGATCGTGTGGCAGCGCGTGGTGATTGGCTGTGTGTCGGTGACGCGCGCTGATGGTGAGGGATCATAGGGCAGCACGGGGTCATGAGTTATGTGGTGGTGATTGGCTGTGTGTTGGTGACGCGCGCTGACAGGGAGTGATCGTGTGGCAGCGCGGGGTGATTGGTTGTGTGGTGGTAACACGCGCTGGGAAAACGGATCGTATGGCAGCGCGTCGTGATTGGTCGACTAGGGTGGGTGCTCACATCGCGGTCCGCATAGGCTCCATCTCCTCGGGAGCGGAGGGCTATATAAGGCGGTGCGCGCGGGCGCTCGGGGAGTTGGTGACCAGTGAAGACGGAAGACGGAGGAGGAAGAGATAGGGCCCTGAGACCCCTAGTCCCGCTGTCCTTGTAAGGGCCGGGACCCTGTGTGGCTCAGAGGCGGGACCTTGGGACCCGGGGCCTGACGTCCGTGTGAGGGCCGGGCCACGGGACCCAGTGGTCGTGACCCATACCCAAGCCGGGGTGGGTCTGTAGGTTCCCCTGGAAGCTACGGGGCTGGAGAGCCCGTGTGTGTGTAGCCGGGTGGAACGTGTAGCGTGAGCTGTAGTGTCCACACGTGTTATTGTGGCTATAGAAGAGCTGTAGTTGTCCACACGTGTTATTGTGGCTAAGGAAAGAGTTAATAAAGTGTGCTACCCGTCAAGTGGTCTCCCGCCGTAATTTACAATACTACACATACATTAGTATCATCATCAAAGCAGTGTTTGTTTGCATTACATGTGGCAAATGCAGATGGTTTCTTGGGATATGTGTGTGTCTACTGTGTTTAAACATCGTTACACCCTCCTGTGTTAATGCCGTGCATGGATATTGATGTTTTTAGGGGATGGTTAGTCTGAAGAGAATTGTTGTCAATTGTGAGTGTCTAAAGAACAACAACGATTATGATAATGGTGAGTGGTGGGCATGTGGTTAATGTCAGGTTAGTTGTGATTTGGTGTGCGAGGTGCACGGGCGAGGAATGCATGAATGTATGTGGGTAGTGTTAGTCTATGGGCAGTGAGTGTGTGTATGTTGAACTTCTTTAGCACCGTACGTAGCCAACCGTGAAAGTGTTGAGACTATGCGCAGTGGTGAGCATATGAACAGTGTTGAGTCTATGGGCGGTGTTGAGTCTATGGGCGGTTTTGAGTGTATGGATAGTGTTGAGTCTATGGGTAGTGTTGAATCTGTGGGCAGTGTTGAGCCTATGGGTAGTTTTGAATCTACATGGGCAGAGAGTAACAACGGATCACGATCTGATCAGATTATTTTATTTCCGTCGAACGATTGTGCAGTGAGAATGAAACGCGAAAATATCCGCAGGGTAATCACGGTTATCAAAGCAACGTCTGTCGAGCGACCCGTACTTTAGAGTATCGTGCAGTGGCGGCTCGTCAATAGAGGGCGCAGGGGCGCCGCCCCCATCAATATTCCAGAAATATACATATACAAAATTTATATAAAAATACATAAATAAAATATTTTTTTCATACGATGTGCCGGCTGGTAGTAAGAAAAGCATCAGCATTTAATAAAAACTGGCTTTAATCGGTCAACTATTTTCTATGTTTTTCAATGTGTTTTATGCGGGGCGCCGGACAAATGGATGTCTATGTGAGACTTTACATTTTCGGACAGCATGTGACCTGAAGCTGGTCTCTAATTGGTTTCTTAAAGATTCTCCTCGGGGCGCAAGTCGTTGCGTCCCTGGCCAATCAGAATTGGATACATGTTATTTTATCCAATCTGATTGGTTCTCGTCACCTGTCATTCAAATTTACGCTGTAGGCCACTACTGCGAGTGCGAAGGCGACACCACTTTGACACTTGCTAGGCTGATCAAATTTTTTGTGTAAACAATGGCAGCAGTTCATCCAAATTCTGTAATTTATTTACAAAAAAACCCTTTCACAAGGCTTTCGCTGGAAGAAATAAAAAAGATAAAGGATCTCGGACCGGACCAACCCGATTTACAAATCCAGCAGCAGGCCAGTGACAGAGGACGAAGCTACACACGAAGCTTCACCCGCGCTTGTTATGAGAAACGGAGGTGGCTGGCTGGATGTGATGTTAGCAATTCTCTTTTTTGTTTTCCCTGTCTTTTATTTCAAAGTGTCGGCACTGAAGTTTTGTGGACAACGACGGGGGTAAGAGACCTCAAACATCTCTCTGACAAATGCAAACGTCATGAAAGTAGCCGCAGCCATATTGATAATAGCATGAAACTAACGTTTTTGGGCAGAGTTAGCATTGCTGAACAACTAGATGAAGGCTACAGGATTGGCATTAGAAGGCACAACGAAGAGGTGACAAAAAATCGACACATACTGTCCAGGATAATAGACTGTGTGAAATTTTGTGGAGCATTTGAGTTGGCGTTACGTGGCCATGATGAGAGTGAGAGCTCAGATAACCCCGGTATATTTCGCGGGTTGGTGGATTTTGTTGCCTCTCTTGATGGAGCATTGAAAGAGCACCTTGACAGTGCTACTGTATTTAAGGGAACGTCGAAAACTATACAGAACGAGCTACTGGACTGTATGTTGTCTGTTACAAGAGAAGAAATAATCAAAGAAGTCCAGACAAGTAGTTTTTTATCAATCCAGGCAGATGAAACAACAGATATTGCCACACAGTCCCAACTTGTGCTTGTGCTGCGCTACATCGACGACAAAAATAACGTGCAGGAAAGATTTTTTGAGTTCATCCCTCTGCAGTCAGCTACAGCTGAGTCCATTGCTACTGCACTAAAAGAGCGTCTTGCTTCTATCCTTCCTAAGGATCAGAAAAGTAAGCTCATCTGCCAGGCATATGATGGGGCCAGCGTGATGAGGGGTGCCACTGCAGGTGTTCAGAGAAAAATACAAGATGTGTACCCAAATGCCCACTACATCCACTGCTACGCACATCAGCTCAACCTGATAATGCAACAGGCCACGTCTCACATATCCAAGACGAGAATATTTTTTTCTAACATTGGTGGATTTGCCAGCTTTTTTTCTAAGTCACCCAAGCGGACATGTTTTCTGGATAAAGTGGTTGCCCATAGACTGCCAAGATCCAGCAACATCAGATGGAACTTTCATAGCCGTGCCATTAATACTGTTTTTGAGCACAGAGAGGATCTCATTCACTGTTTTGAGAGCATACAAGACTCAGATGACTTCGACCCCAATACTGTCAGAGAAGCAGGAGTCCTGGCCATGCTACTGGAGGATGAGGATTTTAAGTTCTTTCTGGAACTTTATCACCACATCATGCCACATGTAGACTTCCTCTATGCCAAGCTCCAGAAAAAGAACATTGATTCAGTCCATATCAAAGTGAGCATCCAACAGTTCCAACAAGAAATACAAAAGATCAGGTAACTTTATTCCTGTAATATGATCATTATTTGCTTTCTTTCATTTTTAACTCTCTTTATCCTTTGCCAAAATTATAATAAATTATCTTTGTCCTTTGCAGAAACTCTCTCCACTCCATTGGTGAGCAAAGCAGTGGTTCTCGTCCAACAAAGAGGCGCCGGGCGCTCAGTTCGGAAGACCGTGAAAGGATTGCAGCAGAGGTGAGTTTGTTATAGAAATCAGTCAAAATACCATTTTACATTATTGTTGTGCTGCAGAGATGTCCTGCCTACATATCATATTCTACAGACTCAAGAAAACATTTTTAGTTTGGTATAAATCCTAACAAAAATCTTAATTTTAATATACAATAGCATCCCAAAAATAATAAATTGGCAACATAAAAATAAATGATCAAATGAAATTTGAAGCCACCAAAAACTACAGTCTTGTATGGGACAAAAACTCAAATGGCTCTATTTTTCTTTTGAAAGTAATTGCAACTGTGACAATTAGTGGTCTACTCCAGGCTACTACCTTACATTTATATATCTATTTGTTTAATTATCTCTATAGGTCTGTGACACAATCCTGGGACACACTAGGGAGCGTTTCTCCTTCACAGACCACCTTGTCTGTGCCACCTTGTTGCAGGGGGACAGGTTTGATGAGTACAAGGATACCTTTCCTGAAGATGCATTGAGCAGCACCATGAAAGCGTACCCGATGCTCAGTGGAAGCAAGCTGAAGACGGAGCTCAGTCTCATCTACAGCAAGGAAGAGTTCAGAGCCTGCCGTGGTGCTGTGGACCTATTCCAGCTGTTTATGGAGAATAATCTCGAAGAAGTCTTTTCCGAAACTGTGACTCTCCTAAAAGTTATCATTACCACACCCATGACCACGGCTGAAGCTGAGAGGTGCTTCTCAACCTTGAAACGAATAAAAAATTTTCTCAGAAACACCATGACCCAGGAGAGGCTGAATGCACTGGCATTGCTGTCCATGGAAAAGAGACTTGTTACGGAGATGACTGACTTTAATCAGAGAGTAGTTGAGAAATTTGCTGGCCAGAAAGAAAGAAGAGCAAAATTTATGTTCAAGTAGGAAACATGCTTTTTGGTACTTTGGTCTGAAATGTATATAAAAGAGAAACATTTATGTTCAAGTAGGAAACATGCTTTTTGGTACTTTGGTCTGAAATGTAAATAAAGATCATCAAAATTTATATTCAAGTAGTCAAAATGGTTTTTGGTACTGCTTTATATTTATTTGCCCCCCTCAATAAAATAAAAAAAATGCGCCCCCCCAAAAATAAATATCACCAGCCGCCACTGGTATCGTGATGACAACGTATCCATAATTGAATGTTTTTTTAGGTGGTTAGATGTTTGACACGATCTAACAAACCCTCTAGTTATGAGTATTGGTTGCCTGCGCCTCCTGTGTTGAAATGCTAAGGCGTATTCTTGTGAAGGTGTAGAACGAGCAGGCGTTTTAAAGTACTTACCCAGTGTCTCCTCGCGATTCCAATCGGCTGTGGTGGTTGTAATGTTAAGAGCGAGCGGTATTTATACGTTGCCTGGCTGGTTTCGACATCCTCTATGGCGCAAATTCCCTGACTTGAAGACAATACAATTCCCACGAAGCACACACAAGCACACACACCTGTGTTTGTATGTCTTTGTGTGTGTGTGCGTGCGTGTGCGTGTTTGTGAAGAACAAACATCTGTACCCACCCTCCACGCATTTCCTACGAGGTGCAAACGGTTGGTGGAGTCGAGATCATCACCGATATGTTCCGTGCACACGGAATGACTCAGCAACTTCGGGTCTAATAAAGGGGAAAATGTGGATGGCGGGAGGCCTGTGAGTTCAAGTTTCATTAATTAGGTGTAGCCCTGTGAGCCATGCGGCTCTTGAGTCGGGTGCAACCGCAACAAACAAAATATGAACATAAAATATCTTAAAGCGACGACGCGCAACAGAAACATCCTGGAAGAAACCAGCAAAGTCTTCCAGAAAAAGCACCGTCTTTCAACGCTGTGTGCAAAAATCCCAGTGTGATACAAGTCACACAATAACAACCATAAGACAATTTAGATTAACCATGTGTTTTCAAAATCACCAAAATAAAGCTATAAAAACAATGTAACAACAGTAATCATAGGAACTGTGATTCAAATTTAACAATAAACGATATACATAACATGTACGACCAAACTTGCAGCCATAGCTGCAGTATGACACTCCCAGTGTATGTGTGAGTGAGTCAGTGGTAGTGTGAGTGTATGATGTGTGAGTCAGCCTATGATGAGTAAGTCAGTGTATGATGTGTGAGTCAGTGGTTGTGTGAGTGTATGATGTGTGAGTCAGCGTGTGATGAGTGAGTAAATGATGAGTGAATTCGTGTATGATGAGTGAATGGGTCAGTGGTTGTGTGAGTGAGTGTATGATGTGTGAGTCAGTGTAAGATGAGTATCACGGAATCCTCCACGCCATCGCGGCCTCCTCCACGCCATCACGACCTCCTCCACGTGTGGTGAGTCTATTGGTCTCTGTGTGGTGAGTCTGTGGGTCTCTGTGTGGTGAGTCTGTGGGTCTCTGTGTGGTGAGTCTGTGGGTCTCTGTGTGGTAAGTCTGTGGGTCTCTGCGTGGTGAGTCTATGGGTCTCTGTGTGTTAAGTCTGTGGTTCTCTGCGTGGTGAGTCTATGGGTCTCTGTGTGGTAAGTCTGTGGTTCTCTGCGTGGTGAGTGTATGATTCTCTGTGGTGAGTCTCCTGGCCTCTGTGTGGTGAGTCTGTGGATCTCTGTGTGGTAAGTCTGTGGGTCTCTGTGTGATGAGTCTGTGGGTCTCTGTGGTGAGTCTCTTGGTCTCTGTGTGGTGAGTCTGTGGGTCTCTGTGTGGTGAGTATGTGGTTCTCTGTGTGGTGAGTCTGTTGGTCTCTCTGTGTAGTGAGTATATGGGTCTCTGTGTGGTGAGTCTGTGGGGTCCTCTGTGTGGTGAGCCTGTGTGTCTCCGCGTGGTAAGTCTATTGGTCTATATGTGGTGAGTCTATGGGTCTCTGTGTGGTGCGTCTGTGGGTCTCTGTGTGGTGAGTCTATGGGTCTCTGTGTGGTGGGTCTCTGCGTGGTGAGTCTATGGGTCTCTGTGTGGTGAGTCTGTGGGTCTCTGCGTGGTGAGTCTATGGGTCTCTGCGTGGTTAGTCTATGGGTCTCTGTGTGCTGAGTCTGTGGGTCTCTGCGTGGTGAGTCTATGGGTCTCTGCGTGGTGAGTCTATGGGTCTCTCTGTGTGGTGAATCTGTGGGTCTCTGCGTGGTGAGTCTATGGGTCTCTGTGTGGTGAGTCTGTAGGTCTCTGCGTGGTGAGTCTATGGGTCACTCTGTGTGGTGAATCTGCGTCTCTGCGTGGTGAGTCTATGGGTCACTCTGTGTGGTGAGTCTGTGGGTCTCTGCGTGGTGAGTCTATGGGTCTCTGCGTGGTTAGTCTATGGGTCTCTGTGTGCTGAGTCTGTGGGTCTCTGCGTGGTGAGTCTATGGGTCTCTGCGTGGTGAATCTGTGGGTCTCTGCGTGGTGAGTCTATGGGTCTCTGTGTGGTGAGTCTGTAGGTCTCTGCGTGGTGAGTCTATGGGTCACTCTGTGTGGTGAATCTGCGTCTCTGCGTGGTGAGTCTATGGGTCACTCTGTGTGGTGAGTCTATGGGTCTCTGTGTGGGTAAGTCTGTGGGTCTCTGTGTGGTGAGTCTGTGGGTATCTGTGTGGTGAGTATGTGGGTCTCTGTGTGGTATGTGGTTCTCTGTGTGGTGAGTCTGTTGGTCTCTCTGTGTAGTGAGTCTATGGGTCTCTGTGTGGTGAGTCTGTGGGGTCCTCTGTGTAGTGAGTCTATGGTTCGTGTTGAGTCTATGGGCAGTGGTGAGTATATGGGCAGTGTTGAGTCTATGGGCAGTGTTGAATCTGTGGGCAGTGTTGAGCCTATGGGTAGTTTTGAATCTATGGGTCGTGTTGAGTCTATGGGCAGTGTTGAGTCTATGGGTCGTGTTGAGTCTATAGGTAGTGTTGAGTCTATGGGCAGTGTTGAGTCTATGGGTCGTGTTGAGTCTATGGGCAGTGGTGAGTATATGGGCAGTGTTGAGTCTATGGGCAGTGTTGAATCTGTGGGCAGTGTTGAGCCTATGGGTAGTTTTGAATCTATGGGTCGTGTTGAGTCTATGGGCAGTGTTGAGTCTATGGGTCGTGTTAAGTCTATAGGTAGTGTTGAGTCTATGGGCAGTGTTGAGTCTATGGCAGTGTTGAGTCTATGGGTCGTGTTGAGTCTATGGGTCGTGTTGAGTCTATAGGTAGTGTTGAGTCTATGGGCAGTGTTGAGTCTATGGGTAGTGTTGAGTCTATGGCAGTGTTGAATCTGTGGGCAGTGTTGAGCCTATGGGTAGTTTTGAATCTATGGGTCGTGTTGAGTCTATGGGCAGTGTTGAGTCTATGGGTCGTGTTGAGTCTATAGGTAGTTTTGAGTCTATGGGCAGTGTTGAGTCTATGGCAGTGTTGAGTCTATGGGTCGTGTTGAGTCTATGGGTCATGTTGAGTCTATAGGTAGTGTTGAGTCTATGGGCAGTGTTGAGTCTATGGGTAGTGTTGAGTCTATGTCAGTGTTGAATCTGTGGGCAGTGTTGAGCCTATGGGTAGTTTTGAATCTACATGGGCAGAGAGTAACAACGGATCACGATCTGATCAAATTATTTTATTTCCGTCGAACGATTGTGCAGTGAGAATGAAACGCGAAAATATCCGCAGGGTAATCAGTTATCAAATCAACGTCTGGCGAGCGACCCGTACTTAAGAGTATCGTGATGACAACGTATCCATAATTGAATGTTTTTTTAGGTGGTTAGATGTTTGACAAGATCTAACAAACCATCTAGTTATGAGTATTGGTTGCCTGCGCCTCCTGTGTTGAAATGCTAAGGCGTATTCTTGTGAAGGTGTAGAACGAGCAGGCGTTTTAAAGTACTTACCCAGTGTCTCCTCGCGATTCCAATCGGCTGTGGTGGTTGTAATGTTTAGAGCGAGCGGTATTTATACGCTGCCTTGCCTGGCTGGTTTCGACATCCACTATGGCGCAAATTCCCTGACCTGAACAAGACAATACAATTTCCACGAAGCACACACAAGCACAAACACAGGTGTTTGTGTGTCTTTGTGTGTGTGTGCGCGTGTTTGTGAAGAACAAACATCTGTACCCACCCTCCACGCATTTCCTACGAGGTGCAGAATCACAGAACCGGAATTCATAGCTTGAAATCATTTATAGCAGGGCCCTTGCAAGTGCGGGGCCCGTAGCTACTACATAAGTAGTAGCTACATAAGTAGTAGCTACATAAGTAGTAGCTGCATGTGTAGTAGCTACTACATATGCAGCTACTTTTGCTACCAGGATAATCTGGCAAAGCCTCACATTTGCAACTCCTTCCTGTTTGGGATTCACAGCAAAGTACACTACTGGGCAGACTCATCCAGCTTTGATCAAGATGCAGCTTTTCTGGAGTTGTATTTTTTCACAAGTGGCCCCGATGCGTGAGCCACCGGTGAAATTCCGAATCGGGGATTCTTAAGACGAAAGCCGTTAACCACCGAGGCTTCAAAAGGGGCTAACCACGGAATTTAAAATTTCCCATCAAGGTCCTTAAGAGCTTCTGATCTACATATGTTAAAAATGTGCCCTAAATAAAAAAAGGATATCTTAAAAGACGTAAATGTTTAACTTGGGATAGTGAATTGGATTTATTCATTTGCTATACAGCCGGATAATACGACAAATCGCTAACCTTAAACACCCCCAGTAGTTCGTACAAAGTCGAAGGCAGTATAGTACTATAGTAATAGATAGTGCCGGATTAAGCTAGTGCGGGGCCTGTAGCATATGATGTTATAAATGGGTCCTAGATAAATAAAAAAACACGGAAATATGAAAATACATTAATTTGTAACTTGCAATGTAAATAAATAGTATTTGCTCATTTCATATACAGCCGGATAATGCGACAACTCGCTCACCTTAAACACCCCCAGTAGTTCGTACAAGTCGCAGGCGATGTAGCACAAGCGAAACATTCACGCGTTTTAATGTTTTTGTTTAAAAAAAAAATTATATTCAGGGGCCCCTTCAGAACGACGAAGGGAGGGGTGTGTGAGGTGGGGGGTGTGAGGTGGGGGGGGTGTGAGGTGGGGGGATGAGGTGGTGGGGTGTGAGGTGGTGGGGGGGTGTGAGGTGGTGGGGGGGGTGAGGTGGTGGGGGGGTGAGGTGGGGATCTGCCTCGGGATTCTGGGCAAGGGCGGCTCAGACATCGACTGCATGGGCTTCATGTTCATCAATTCGGTGAAGCGGTCCGAGATGATCAACGTGACGTACCCGACGCTGCACCGGGAGCTCCCGAAGGTCCAGATGGAGGAGATCAAGTCCATCAGCTACAAGAACCGGGGCTCCGTCCCGCAAACCTACAAGGTGGAGACCTCCAAGACGCTGACCAAGACCTCGTCGTGGTCGATCGCGAACAAGCTCGAGGCGACCGTCAGCATCAGCGTCAAGGCCGGCATCCCCGACGTCGTCGAGGTGGAGAGCGGCTTCAGCTTCACGGTGGGCACCGAGAGCACCCGCGGCGTCGCGAACTCCGAGTCGAAGACAGAGCGGCGGTGAAGTCACCACGGCAATTGTACCAGGCTAGGTGCACCACATCGAGGCCACGTGAAGTGTCCAATGCCCGCCGGCAGGAGGTCACGTGTGTGTGCGAGTGTGTGTGTGGACTTGCCTTCAACTTCACACCGCGAAGCGCAAATCAGGAGGAAGGTGGTGGCCTCAAATTGGCGACAGCTCCTCGGACGTTGACATCCAAAACGAGTTGGGGGGTGGGGACCCCCCCCCCCCCACCCACCCCCTCTTATCGCGTCCGTCGCCACCAATTCAAGTTATGAGTCGCGTGATCTTTGAATCGTGGTAAAGTGCATGCAAGCAGAAAGGGGGTCGCGCGAGCATTTGACTGCGTGTGAATCGGTGCTACGGGATGAAAGTGCAGGGTGAGAAATAAAATAAAATGTTTCGATTTAAAGCTTTCGTGAATGCAGGGATTCATCTTCTTGGTTCTTTCGGTAAAGTCACGTAGAAGGGAAATAATAAAATAATACAATGAAAGATGTTTTTATTTTAATAATAAAATAACAATAAAAATAAAATAAATTAATGTTTTATTTTTATTATTTTATTATTTCCCTTCTACGTGACTTTACCGAGCGAACAAAGAAGAGAAATAAAAAGTCTTCGAAAGAGAACGCCGGAACCGCGGTCGCGTGCTCTGGGTGGAAGGGCTGCATCTCAAAAAAAAAAAACACCACCTGGGTTCGATTCCAGATGCGGTTAAGCCGGGACTCACGGCCGCGGCGAGTTGGTGGCCATGGGAAGAAAAAAAGAACATAATACAATTATCATAAGAAAAAAAAGAAAAAATTATAATATAAAAACATAATAAGAAATAAAGAACCTGGTTAGCTGTGGCGGAGAACTCACGTGGCACCGCTGACATCACGGGTTTTGCATTTTTTTTTATTGATTAGGTTTTCAATCGCACGTGATTAAGACGGAATTCTCGGTTTTCCGAGTCTCTCCCCCTCTGCCGAGTGATCGACACCGTCGCTTTGAAGGGCAAAATGCGGGCTCAGAAGTCCCATTTGGGGCCGTCCATAAATGACGTTATGCACTTAGGGGGGGGGGGTCAGACATTTGTGACGATGTGTGACGACGGGGGGGGGGGGGGGGGGGGGGGTTTGAGAAATGTGACGTCACATCAAAATGCGCAACTTTAAATAAATATAGAATTGTTGAGTGCAGCGCCACGTTAAATACGCACTACAATGACAATAGTTTAAAGCGATTTGAAGCATCTTTTATTTTCAAAATGTAAATATGGTTTTGGGGGGGGGAGAGGGGGGCAGAGCTTTGTGACGTCATATTTGAGGGGGGGGGTCTGACTTTTTGTGACGAGGGGGGGGGGGGGGTCAAAAATCGTCCAAAATCGCGTGACGTCATTTATGGAAGGCCCATTTCCGACGAACCACTCACACAGCTTACCGTCCATTGATGACCGTACGAGGAACCCACGCGGCAATGGATACCCACGGTGATTTAAAGGCATTAATCCCCTCCCAACTCGACCAAAGAAGCGCTCACAAGTGGTGCCATCACGTCTATCCCCTCTTATTCATTCAGCAAAGCAGGAAGAGGATTTCTCCACAAATCCGCGGCTGTCGCCTGATGAAGCCGTCGTTGTGATTACCGGCGAAACGTCACGGGGCTCGGATTGTAAATGTCGTGGCTTTGCTCTCCAACATACAACCGGTGTGCTGTACTAGTGTACTACACTACACTATACACTATACTACACACTACACTACTATACACCAATATACTACAATAAACACTATATACCACTATACACTACACTATTATACACCACTATACTGTACACTAAACTATACACTACACTATAAACTAGTATACACTACACTATACACTACTATACATGACACTATACACTACGATACACTACACTATACACTACATTATAATCTTCTTGGTTCTTTCGGTAAAGTCACGTAGAAGGGAAATAATAAAATAATAAAAATACTTTTATTATTTCCCTTCTACGTGACTTTACCGAAAGAACCAAGAAGATGAATCTCTGCTGTCATGAAAGCTTTAAATCGAAATTACACTAGAAACTATACACTACACTACACAATAAACTATACACTACACTACACAATAAACTATACACTACACTATGTACTATACACTACACTGTAAACTACTATACACTACACTGTAAACTATATACCACACTATAAACTATACACTACACTATACACTACACACGAGTGCTGTATTCGTCACGAACTGAGTGAGCTCCGTTCCCGTGACACTGAAGCTCACCGATTGGCTGCGTCGGGCGGTGGGCGGGGCTCTAACGACATCGACGCGGTCACGTGACCTGAACTTGATCTTAGCGTGACGACAAGAGAGCGAAGACAGTGGGGGGGGGTGGTGTAGTGGTGGTGTGGTGGTGGGACGGACGTCGAAATTCGTCCCGAGGGATTTGCCGGTGGGCGAACGTTCGCCATGAGAACGCGTGTGAGTAGCAAGCCTGTGTGTTTGTGTGTCTGTGTGTGTATGTGTGTGTATGTGTGTTTGTGTGTCTGTGTGTCTATATTTGTGTGTCTGTGTGTCTATGTTTGTGTGACTGTGTGTGTCTGTATCTACCTGTGTGTGTCTGTGTGTCTGTGTGTCTTTGTGCGTGTGTCTTTGTGTGTGTGTCTGTGTGTGTGTACCGATGTCTCTGTGTGTGTATGTGTGTGTGTGTGTATGTGTGTGTGCGCGCGTGCGTCGACGACGATGACGTCACTGCGGGGGGGCGTCACCGGCGATGACGTCACTGCGGGGGGCGTCACCGGCGATGACGTCACTGCGGGGGGGGCGTCACCGGCGATGACGTCACTGCGGGGGCGAGTGCAGCTGGACCAGCACAGCCGTGACGTTGTCAGCGCTCCCCCGGCGCACCGCCTCGGTGGTCACGCGGACGCACGAACTCGCCCAGCGCTCGGCACGCGCAGACGAGGACGAGGAGGAGGACCCCTCGGGAACCTGAGACAACACAGAGACAGAGACACAGAGACACAGACACACAGAGACAAAGAAAGATGAAGAGACAAAGATCCCCTGTGTAATAATTGGTTTTTTAGCCTTTTATCTGGCAACAAAAGGAGTCATGTTTGCATAGACCACAATACCTGCAGCCATAATGCAAACAAAAAATCATAACTCTGATAATGATATACACTGTCCTTGAAGTTGATTGGTCCACACCCGAGACAGCTTTCTCACATGGGTTGGACCAGATGACGCCAAAAGGCGCACAACTCAAAGACAATGCACCATCAGAGTATGAGAGCTCGGGGTAAGCATTTACACCATTGGAACCTCATTTGCCAGTAAAAAATATGATAATTGTTTTTTACCCTTTAATCTGGCAACAAAACTGACACCTTTTTCCCCCGTGTAGCCTGTAACAGACTGTTTGGGGCAAGTGCTGTTAGCGAGCGGTTAAAGTCACGTAGTTAGAAAAATAATAGATCACGACGTTTCGATCGCAACACAAGTAATCGTCATGAGGTGGGACAACCACAGCAATAAAAAAAAACTGCTGAAGTAGGGTTTTTTCTTTCTTTTGTTCTTGCTGTGGTTGTCCCACCTGATGACGATTGCTTGTGTTGCGATCGAAACGTCGTGATCTGTTATTTTTCTACCTATGTGACTGAACCGAAAGAACCAAAGAGTATGGATTCCTGCAGTCACGAAAGCTTCAAATCAAGAATGTACTAATGTGTTTGTACCTCCAGGCTCTTGTTGATGAAGGAGACCGCCTCGTCAGCGGTGAACGCCTTGAAGAGACCATCACACGCCAGCAGAAGGAACCTGGGACACACACAGACACACACAGACACACACAGATACATACAGACACACAAAGACACATACACACACACAGATACACAGACACACACCAGACATACACACGGATGCACAGAAACACACAGACACACAGACACACAAAGACACACACAGACTCACACACAGACATACACAGACACACACAGACAGATAAAGACACCCAAAGACACATACACACACACAGATACACATACAGACACGTCCGATCAGCACGACTGGACTACGTACGGCATAATAATCAGTTCAACGTACGCACGCAAATAAAAACTTTGGTTCCAGTATGCGCGTGTGCTGTGTGTTCTGTGTGTCTCTGGGTGTCTCTGTGTGTATCTGTGTGTGCTAAGTGTCTCTACGTGTCTCTGCATGTGCCGAGTGTCTCTGTGTGTCTCTATGTGTGCTAAGTATCTCTACGTGTCTGTGTGTTCTGTGTGTCTCTGTGTGTTCTGTATGTCTCTGTGTGTGCTAAGTGTCTCTGTGTGTGCTAAGTGTCTCTGTGTGTTCTGTATGTCTCTGTGTGTCTCTGTGTGTCTCTGTGTGTGCCGAGTGTCTCTGTGTGTCTCTATGTGTGCTAAGTATCTCTACGTGTCTGTGTGTTCTGTGTGTCTCTGTGTGTTCTGTATGTCTCTGTGTGTGCTAAGTGTCTCTGTGTGTGCTAAGTGTCTCTGTGTGTGCTAAGTGTCTCTGTGTGTGCTAAGTGTCTCTGTGTGTTCTGTATGTCTCTGTGTGTCTCTGTGTGTCTCTGTGTGTGCCGAGTGTCTCTGTGTGTCTCTATGTGTGCTAAGTATCTCTACGTGTCTGTGTGTTCTGGGTGTCTCCGTGTGTTCTGTGTGTCTCTGTGTGTTCTGTATGTCTCTGTGTGTGCTAAGTGTCTCTGTGTGTTCTGTATGTCTCTGTGTGTCTCTGTGTGTCTCTGTGTGTCTCTGTGTGTCTCTGTGTGTCTCTGTGTGTCTCTGTGTGTCTCTGTGTGTCTCTGTGTGTCTCTGTGTGTCTGTGTGTCTCTGTGTGTCTCTGTGTGTCTCTGTGTGTGCTAAGTGTCTCTGTGTCTCTGAGTGTCTGCGCGTGCTGCGTGTCTGTGCGTGTCTCTATGTCCCTGCGTGTCTGCACATGCAACGTGTCTCCGCGTGTCTGGGCGTGCTGTGTGTCTCTGCGTGTCTCTGCGTGTCGTCTCCGCGTGTCTCCGCGCGTGCTGCACCTGTCGTTGGCCGTGAGCTGGCATCGCCTGATGTCGGGCGTCGAGATGACGCCGCACCGCTTGTACTGCCCGTCGCCAATCGACCGAGACACCTCGAGCACGCCCAGCACTCTACCGTCCCTGCGTTCACCGCCGTTCGCAAGGACACACGCACAGTACACAACGCTCGCCCCACTCCACAATCTCAACATAGGGGGCAGCAGCAGTGACCTGGGAGATGTTGACTCCCTTGCCTTGTATGCGGGAGGTTCGTGAGTTCGATCCCGGACCCTAGCGATGCCTTGCTGCTGCTGTATATTTGGAGTTTACGTCTCTCTCTCTCTCTCATCATCATCACGGTGGCCGGGAAATGTTGGCTACCTCGCCTGGTACGCGGGAGGCGGTGGGTTCCACCCTGAACCCTGACGATGCTTGCTGCTGTATATGAAGAGTTAGCGTACACAACAACAACGAACATTTGCCACATAGGTTGCGATGACATCATCTCGACGCTTATGCCAGGCTCTGTGCACATTGAGGCCACGTGAAGTGTTGAACGCCCGCTGGCAGGAGGTCACGGGGCAGACCCAGCAGGTGCCACGGGTCGACTGACTGAGATGACTGGCTGATGCACCACCTGTGCCCCCTACTGTGCCAACTTGTTGTGCTTTATACACCTGGCGCGCCGCTCATTGTTGTGAGCGTCGCTCCTCTGCCCTCCATTGTTGTTGGAGGGTGACTGCCTCCAACCGCCCAGTAGCGTCCTTCACGAGCCTCCTCCACAGAGGCCGATCTTGACACCGCTGGTATCAGTCATCGGTAAAGGCCACTCAGCTCCACATCCTCCTGTACCACATTACTCCATCTCTTCTCTAGCCCGTGCCACGCCCATTTAGCTCCCTCTATCCAGCCGAACAAAAGCTGTTTAGGCATGCGGTGACTGGGCATGCCGGCTACATGACCAGCCAATGCAGCCTTGCCTGCCGGAGGAGCTCACCGATGGGACTTTGTCCAGATCTTTCAAGGATTTGTGAGCTCCTCATACAATCCAGCCTGGTTAAGGCCAGGATGGATCATAGGCAGGCCAGCCTAGCATAGAGAAGGGAGGGAATGACCAAGGCCGAGAAGAGCTGAAGCTTCGTGCGGAGCGACAGACCAGGTAGCTTCCACACAGTGTTACGCAACCAGTGAAAAGATAATGCCTTTCGACTGATTCTGAGTGAGACCACTGCTGTCAAACCGGAGCCGGTCATGAGTACACTGCCCAAGTATGGGAAACTCTCCACTCTCTCCACAACTGCCCTATCACCAATTGTGAGTTGTGGGGGTGGAGTGTCCGATAGTACAAAATTCCCAGGCAGGTGCTTAGTTTTGGTGGGGCTGATGGTAAGGCCCCACCTCTTAGTGGCACACTCCAGGTTCAGCAGCAGCACCTCCAACTCCTCCTCTGAGTGATCAGCAGTTACCAGATCATCGGCATACGTAACATGGTTTTGTGGTAATGAATTGAAGGTGGAGGAGTTACCAGCCCCTTGCACCCATCCAGAGCCCCCATTTGGCCGCTGTGGTGGTTATAAACGCCATGAGGGGAATAGCCAATCTAAAATGGCACTCCCCCCATGGCACTGCCCTCCAGGTAGGGGGTTGTTTTTGCGTACACACAAACACGTGCGCAAACACGTACGTCACCGGAGGTCAACATTGAAACCACCACCACCGCTGCTACCACCCCCGCCACCACCGACACCCCCCCCACCACCCCCATCACCACCACCCCCACCACCACCATCACCACCGTCATCACTACCCCTACCACCATCACCACCCCCACCACCACCACCATCCCCACCATCCCCACCACCACCCCCACTACCCCTGCCACCCCCACCATCACTACCACCATCACCACCCCCACCACCACCACCATCCCCACCACCACCCCCACTACCCCTGCCACCCCCACCACCACCACAACCACCACCGCCACCGCCACCACCCCCACCACCACCACCATCCCCAACACCACCCCCACCACCACCATCCCCACCACGTGAAGCTCCTCTGTCCAGGCCATACCTTACCGTGGCGCCGGCGCGCTGCAGCCGCATGCGCTCCTCGTACTGCACCGCGCTGTGCTCGCGGCTCAGCGGCACGGCGAGGACGGCGGAGCTCGCAGCGCGGCACAGCACGGCCTGGGGGGGGCGCCACGCGCACGCGGGGACACACAGACACACAGAGACACACAGACATGCACACAGACACACAGGCACACACACAGACAGACACACACACACACAGACACACGCACACAGACACACACACGGATACACACAGAGACACACACGGATACACACAGAGACACACAGAGACACACAGGCACACAGACAGACACACACAGAGACACACAGGCACACACAGACACACACAGAGACACACACAGACACACACACACAGACACACACACACACACGCACACACACACACGCACAGACACACACACACACACAGAGACACACACACAGAGACACACACACAGACACACATACGGAGACACACAGAGACACACAGGCATACACACGCACACAGACAGACACACACAGAGACACACAGGCACACACAGACAGACAAACACAGAGACAGACACATATACATACAGACACAGACACACAGACACACACACAGACACGCACACAGACACACAGACATGCACAGACACACAGACACACACACAGACATGCACAGACACACACAGACACACACACACAGACACACACACACGCACAGACGCACACACACACATACACGCACAGACACACAGAGACACACACACGCACACAGACAGAGACACACACATGGAGACACACAGGCACACACACGCACACAGACAGACACACACAGAGACACACAGGCACACACAGACAGACACACACAGAGACACACACAGACTGCTGTGTTTACTCTGTGCCGTGTATACTCCGTGCCGTGTGTACTAAGTGTCGTGTGTACTCCGTGCCGTGTGTACTAAGTGTCGTGTGTACTAAGTGTCGTGTGTACTAAGTGTCGTGTGCACTCCGTGCCGTGTGTACTCCGTGCCGTGTGTACTAAGTGTCGTGTGTACTCCGTGCCGTGTGTACTAAGTGTCGTGTGTACTCCGTGCCGTGTGTACTAAGTGTCGTGTGTACTCCGTGCCGTGTGTACTCCGTGCCGTGTGTACTCCGCGCCGTGTGTACTAAGTGTCGTGTGTACTAAGTGTCGTGTGTACTAAGTGTCGTGTGTACTAAGTGTCGTGTGTACTCCGTGCCGTGTGTACTAAGTGTCGTGTGTACTAAGTGTCGTGTGTACTCCGTGCCGTGTGTACTCCGTGCCGTGTGTACTCCGTGCCGTGTGTACTCTGTGCCGTGTGTACTCAGTGCCGTGTGCACTCCATGCCGTGTGTACTAAGTGTCGTGTGTACTAAGTGTCGTGTGTACTCCGTGCCGTGTGTACTCCGTGCCGTGTGTACTCTGTGCCGTGTGTACTCAGTGCCGTGTGCACTCCATGCCGTGTGTACTAAGTGTCGTGTGTACTAAGTGTCGTGTATACTCCGTGCCGTGTGTATTCCGTGCCGTGTGGACTCCGTGCCGTGTGTACTCGGTACCCTGCTGTCTCCCAGGTTGGCCACGTAGGCGACGTTGTCGACGATCAGAGCACAGATGGCCGTCGTGCCGTCCTTCCACACCGGCTTCCTGCGGGCAGAAAACGCAACAACAACAATAATGGAACGTCGCCTCCACGCACGCGCACGCACGCGCACACACACGCACACACACAAACAATCTTAAACACGCTCACACACTCACACAAGAACTCTCTCTCACAGACACCCTCACGGTCACACACACACTCACATGCTCACACTCTCACACACACACGCTCACGCTCACACACACACTCTCACACGCTCACACTCTCACACACACTCACAGACACCCTGACACGCTCACACACGCACACACTCACACGGACACCCTCATGCTCTCACACTACGCTCACACACACACACTCACACACACGCTCACAATCGCACACTCTCCCACTCACTCACTCACATACTCTCTCACTCTCTCACACTCACACCCTCACACTCGCACACACACGAGCTCACAAACACACGTGCTCACACACACATACGCGCTCACACACACACACACGCGCTCACACACACGCTCACACACACGCTATCTTTCTCTCTCACACACGCACTCACACATACTCTCTCACACACTCTCACACACTCTCTCACACACACACTCTCTCTCTCTCTCACACGCACACACACGCACTCACACACACTCTCTTACACACTCTCTCACACACACACAGACAGACACACAGACAGACACACACACACAGACACACTCACAGACACTGACACTCACACACTAGCACACTCACACTCTCACACTCTCTCACACACTCACACGCACACACACTCTCACACACGGGGACTCACTGGCTGGATGCCAGCTTGAGGAAAGCGGCGTCCGTCTGCTTAAATGCGTCCCTGAGGCTCCTCCTGATCTCCTTGTCCAGGTCGGAGACGGCTCCTGCAACTCAGCAAGAGACCCACAGAGATACACAGAGATCCATAGAGATCCATAGAGACACACAGAGACACACAGAGACACACAGAGATCCATAGAGATCCATATAGACACATCACATAGAGACCCACAGAGACACACAAAGACCCACAGAGATACACAGAGATCCATAAAGACCCACAGAGACACACAAAGACCCACAGAGATACACAGAGATCCATAGAGACCCACAGAGATACAAAGACCCACAGAGACACACAGAGATACACAGAGATCCATAGAGACACATCACATAGAGACCCACAGAGATCCATAGAGACCCACAGAGACACATCACATAGAGACCCACAGAGACACAACGAGATCCATAGAGACCCACAGAGATCCACAGAGACCCATAGATACCGACAGAGATACACAGAGATCCATAGAGACCCACAGAGACACATCACAGAGACCCACAGAGACACAGCGAGATCCATAGAGACCCACAGAGACACACTGAGACCCACAGAGAGGTGACGCGTGGCAAAGGAGGATTATTGTTGTGATATTATACTTATTATTTTACGTCTTATTCTTAATGTCATTTGTATTTTTATCATTCATTCTTTCTTCTTCTTATTATTATTTTACTTATTATAAATGTTACTTTTATTCTTATTATTTTCCTTATTTTTATTATTTGCAATTATCCCGTAGCGGCCGTGCGTGGGTCTCACCCTGGGGCAGGCACAGCAGCAGCTGCTGGTGGAGGTGACGCGCGGCGAAGGAGGAGGCACGGGAGCCGCCGTGGCCGTCGAAGACGGCAAAGTAGGCGAGGCGCGAGCTGGGACGGGGGCGGCGTGGGCAGCGTCGTCATCGTCATCATCATCGTCATCATCGTTATCGTTATCATCGTCATCATCATTATCATTGTCGTCGTCATCATCGTCGTCATCATCGTCATCATCATTATCATCGTCCTCATCGTCGTCATCATCGTCATCATCATTATCATCGTCCTCATCGTCGTCATCATCGTCGTCATCATCGTCGTCAGCATCGTCGTCATCATCATCATCATCATCGTTATCATCATTATCATCATCGTCATCAATCATCACTACACTACTATACACTACACTACTATAGACTGCATTACTACACACCACACTATACACTACACTACACACTACACATTCCACTACACACTACACCACTACACCACTACACACTACACTACTCTCACACTCCGTGGGGTAATCGCTCCGTGAGAGACGGGATGATCGTGTGGGCGTCCTGCATCTCGTCGCGTTCGCCCCTCCGCTCCGACACGAAGGCTCGCAGCTCCAGCAGGGCCGGTTCTGGGGGGGGGGGCACACACAAAGATAAAGGCAAAGATCCCCCACAGTGTAGCCTCTAGCAGGCTGTAGGGGCAAGTGCTGTTAGGAGTGGCTTTTGGCCGGTCATACACTACACGATACACTAGACTATACACTACACACAACTTATACACTACCCTATCCACTACACTATCCTACTATACACTACATTATGCACTACACAAAACGTATACACTACCCTATATACTACACTACACAATACACTACTATACTACTATATACACTACAAACCTATACACTACACACTACAATATACACTACACACTAGACTAAACTATACATTTCACGACTATAACACTATACACTACATTATACACTACGCTACCCTATAAACTACACAACTGTACACAATACGCGACACACTACGCAATACACTACACTATACACTACGCGACTATACACTACACTAAACATTACACGACTCTATACACTAACACACTAAACTACGACTCCACGCTACACTACACGCTACACTACACACTACACACACACTACACTACATGCTACACTACACACTACACGCTACACTACACGCTACACTACACAATACACTACACTACACGCTACACAATACACTACACTACACGCTACACTACACACTACATGCTACACTACACACTACACTACACACTACACTACACACTACACTACACACTACACGCACACTACACTACACTGCACACTACACACAAACTACACTACACACTACACTACACGCTACACTACACACTACACTACACACTACACTGCACACTACACACACACCGTACCTGTGTGGATTTCGGGCTCGTCACGATCGTCAGCGTTGGCCGCCGCTTTCCTCTTCGCTCCGCGCTGCTCTTGCCGGGGTTCCGCGTCTTCGGCGGCGGGCGGCTCCTTAGCCCCTTCTACCCCACCCAGGCAGAGACATCGTGAGCGTCACCTGATACTATACACTATACTATACACTGCACTAAACATGACACTACACACTACACTATACACTACACTACACACTACTTTACACTACACTTTACACTACACACTACACTATACACTACACCATACACTACACTATACACTACACTATACACTACACTACTATACACTACACTTTACACTGCACTATACACTACACTGCACCATACACTACACCATACACTACACTACTTTACACTACACTAAACACGACACTATACACTACACCATACACTACACCATACACTACACTATACACTACACTATACACTGCACTATACACTGCACTATACACTGCACTATACAGCACAATATACTGTACACTATACTAAGCACTACACTACCATACAATACAATATACTGTACACTACACTATACACGACACTATACTATACACTACATTATACACTACACTATACACTACACAACTATACACTACACAATACTACACTTATACTTTACACCTTACTGTACACTACAAAATACTACACGAAACACTACACTACCATAGACTATACACTACACTATACATTAAACTATACATTACACTATACACTACACTATACACCACTACCATAGACTATAAACTACACTTTCCACTACACTATACACACAATCCACTACACTATACACTACTGTACACTATACTACTATACACTATACTACTATACACTACACTATACACTACAATATAAGTGTAAATGCTGCAGTGGGCTGTTGCTCTCCAAAACACCGGTTTAGTGCTGTACAAGTAACGAATTGGCACCTGAGCTCGATTTCCTCGTCCCCTAGGTCGACTCAGCCTCAAATGAGGTGGTGTAGTGGTGTAGCGGTGGTGGTGTAGCGGTGGTGGTGTAGTGGTGTAGCGGTGGTGGTGGTGTAGTGGTGGTGGTGTAGCAGTGGTGGTGGTGTAGTGGTGGTGAAGCGGTGGTGGTGGTGTAGCGGTGGTGGTGTAGTAGTGGTGTAGCGGTGGTGGTGTAGTGGTGTAGCGGTGGTGGTGGTGTAGTGGTGGTGGTGTAGCAGTGGTGGTGGTGTAGTGGTGGTGAAGCGGTGGTGGTGGTGTAGCGGTGGTGGTGTAGTGGTGGTGTAGCGGTGGTGGTGTAGTGGTGGTGAAGCGGTGGTGGTGGTGTAGCGGTAGTGGTGTGGCGGTGGTGGTGTAGTAGTGGTGGTGGTGGTGTAGTGAACATCGCTAGCACTGGGGGAGAGACAAAGGTGGCCGGGCGTGGTGGTGCTGTGTGTCAGTGTGTCTTTGTGTGTAATTGTGTCTGTGTGTGTGTCTGTGTGTGTGAGTGTGTGTCTGTGTGTCAGTGTCTGTGAGTGTGTCTGTGTGTTTATCTGTCTGTCTTTGTGTCTGTGTGTGCCTGTCTGTGTCTGTCTGTGTCTTTGTGTCTGTCTGTGTGTCTGTGTGTATCTGTGTCTGTGTGTCTGTCTATCTGTCTGTGTGTGTCTGTCTGTGTGTCAGCGTGTGTGAGTGTGTCTGTCTGTGTGTCTGTGTGTCAGTGTATCTGTGTGTCAGTGTGTCAGTGTGTCAGTGTGTCAGTGTGTCAGTGTGTCTGTGTGTCAGTGTGTCTGTGTGTCAGTGTGTCTGTGTGTCTGTGTATCTGTGTATCTGTGTGTGTCTGTGTCTTTGAGTCTGTGTGTGTCTGTGTGTGTCAGCGTGTGTGAGTGTGTCTGTCTGTGTGTCTCTGTGTGTCTGTCTGTCTTTGTGTCTGTGTGTCTCTGTGTGTCAGTGTGTGTGTCTGTGTGTCTTTGTGTCTGTGTATCTGTGTGTATCTGTGTGTGTGTCTGTGTGTTTGTCTGTGTGTGTGTCTGTGTGTGTGTCTGTGTGTCTGTCTGTGTGTCTTTGTGTGTCTGTGTATGTGTGTCTGTCTGTGTGTATGTGTGTCTGTGTGTGTCTTTGTGTCTGTGTCTGTCTGTGTGTGTCTGTCTGTGTGTGTCTGTCTGTGTGTGTCTGTCTGTGTCTTTGTGTCTGTGTGTCTGTCTGTGTCTGTGTGTCTGTGAGTGTGTTTGTGTGTGTCCGTGTGTGTATCTGTATGTGTCTGTGAGTGTGCCTGTCTGTGTGTGTCTTTGTGTCTGTGTGTCAGTGTCTGTGTGTGTGTCTTTGTCTCTGTGTATGTCTGTGTGTGTCTGTGTCTATTATGGATATTGGTCGCGAAAGTATCCTACTACGTGTTAAATTAACGCTAAATCGACGATAAATTGACGTTAAATTAACTTTAAATCGATGTTAAATTGACGTTAAGCCTTTTGGCGTTCTGTCGTACCGTAAATGCATTGCAAGGCGCCAGCACTGAACAGTTTTATATAATACATATCTAAAATGGAATCGTGGAAAGGGGGGTGGGGGATTAAACATATATATTGTAATTTTAATAGTTTCACGATTTGCAACATTTTTATTTTAATAAAAAAATATTTTTAAAAAGTCATGTGTTAGGCCGAAGCCTTCAGCCTCGCCTGGCCACCTCGGGCGGCCAGTGGAGTCGCTGGACCCCGGCCGGGGGTTCTATCCGAGCACGGTAACCTCGAGCGCGAGGCCTAGTCAACTTGCAAAATAATCTAAACATTTCTTCGCTATCGTCGTTTCCTTACGCTAAATGCACCTCGCAGTCATCAAAGTAAAACAAAACCCGTGATTATTCGTTGTTAGCGTTATTGTTCATAATAAAATACAAATTATCACTGTACCTGCCGCCGGCTCTGGTAAGTCTCCGAACAGATCCATGCTTCGTATTCTTTATTTATTTTGTTGTTAGTCCGGATTAAAGGCGCCTGTTCCGGAATTGGGTTTGCACCGCGTTCGTTTTACACTCAGTGCTGTCTCTGCCGCGTTCTAGAACTGGGTCCCGTGTCGAGTTGGGCCGGACCCGAATTCTGGTGCAGATCTCTGTTCCAAAGTCGAATGAGGTCACTCACTCATCCACTCATTCATCCACTCAGTGATTTATCCACTCACTCATTCACTCAGTGATGTATCCACTCACTCACTCATCCACTCACTCATTTACTCACTCATCCACTCAGTGATTTATCCACTCACTCATTCACTCAGTGATTTATCCACTCACTCACTCATCCACTCACTCATTTACTCACTCATCCACTCAGTGATTTATCCACTCACTCATTCACTCAGTGATTTATCCACTTACTCATTAATCCACTCACTCATTCACTCACCATCCACTCAGTGATTTATCCACTCACTCATTCATCCACTCACTCATCGACTCACCCATCCACTCACTCACCCACTCACTCACCCACTCACCCACTCACTCACTCATCCACTCACTCACTCATCCACTCACTCACTCATCCACTCACTCACTCACTCATCCACTCACTCACTCATCCACTCACTCACTCATCCACTCACCCACTCATCCACTCACCCACTCATCCACCCACTCACTCACCCATCCACTCACTCACCCATCCACTCACTCACCCATCCACTCACTCACTCATCCACTCACCCATCCACTCACCCATCCACTCACTCACCCACTCACTCACTCATCCACTCACTCACTCATCCACTCACTCATCCACTCACTCACTCATCCACTCACTCACTCATCCACTCACCCACTCATCCACTCACCCACTCATCCACCCACTCACCCATCCACTCACTCACCCATCCACTCACTCATCCACTCACTCCTCATCCACTCACTCCTCATCCACTCACTCATCCACTCACTCATCCATCCACTCATCCATCCACTCACTCACCCATCCACTCACTCATCCATCCACTCGCGTAAATATATCAACGTGGTGTCGTTCAACCTCCTGACACAGCCAATTAGTAAGGTTTAGTGCCACATAAACAGAACGTGGCCATTTTGTTACTAGTACAGCACTACTGCACAGTGTAGTGTGTCGTGTCGTATGTAGTGTGCAATGTAGTGTCGTGTGTAGTGTAGTGTGTAGTTTAGTGTGTAGTGCAGTGTGTAGTGTATAGTGCGCTATACACTGCACTATAATTGTAAATGTCGTGGATTTACTCTCAAACACACCGGGTTAGTGCTATACCAGCAACGAACTGGCACAGCAAGTTCTGTTTACGTGACAAACCCCCTCACTAATTGGCTTGCTTTGGGTGGTGGTGGGGCTTAACGAGACAAAACACCACTACACTTATATTCATGCGATCTAACACAAAAAAGCAACTTCTATTGTAGACAAACACTCATAGATGCATGTATTGTGAGTGTAAGAAATGACTTTAATCAATGCAATGCTACTTGATTAAATCTTTTAATCAATGCAACCAAGAGCAATTAAGGGTCAGATGGTGATAGTCTGAGAAGTGAAATGTAACAGTTACAATGATGCACAAATCAACAGGGCATTGAATGCCAAAACCAGATCAAATAACTGCCCAAGTAATTAAAACGATCAAAATACCGCACATTGCGGGAGTAACTGATAAATTAGCCAGATATTTGGAAAAACAAAACATCCCAGTCAGATTTGGCACGGTACATAAAATACAGAAATTAATATCTGGTACACCTCCCCCCCTCCAACCCAGCTTAAATACACGCTCCAAGCTTGGTGGTGTTTCATTCTTCACCTGAGGACGGCTGCTTGCGTTGTGGCCGAAACGTCGTGAGAATTTTTTTATTATGTTTTATTTTTTATATTTTATTACTTCCTTTCTACGTGACGACTTTACCGAAAGAACCAAGAAGATGAATCCCTGCAGTCACGAAAGCTTTAAATCGAAAAATACAAAAGATGCGTTACCGAAGCTATCGACAGAAGGTTTGTACAGGATTAACTACACGTGGTTGCATTAACGAGGCGCGTGCCAGTAGCTCGGCTCATGAACGACGGCGCATCACACACTCAATGGGCGCGCGTGCTATGAGCGAATCTCCACTGTGATTGGCTCCCGATGATTGGCCTGGAGGGGAAAATGGTCGGAGGCACGTGCGCGTAATTACGTCACGTGATCTCAGCTCCCTCAATGGACGCTCAACATATACTCACTTGGGGGCCGTGATTGCGTCTATGATGCCATAGCGCGCGTGGCTGGGCTCGTTAACGGAGTCTCACGCAGAATCGGAACGAGTGCAGGAAGCGCCACCCATCCAATTAGTAAATCATCATGCTGATTGACTCGCGATGATTGCCTTCTCCCTCCGACCCCCATGATTGGCCAGGGATGGGAAGGCCACGTGATTGTACCACGTGACGTGCGCTCCCTCGATATAAAGGAGGGAGCAGACGGCACACCGTATCTGCTTTTCACGGGACTGACTGCTTTTGTAAGTGGTGAGTGGGGTGGCCGGTTTGCTGTAGGGTTTGCTGTAGGGTTTGCTGTAGGGTTTGCTGTAGGGTTTGCTGTAGGGTTTGCTGTAGGGTTTGCTGTAGGGTTTGCTGTAGGGTCTGCTGTAGGGTCTGCTGTAGGGTCTGCTGTAGGGTCTGCTGTAGGGTCTGCTGTAGGGTCTGCTGTAGGGTCTGCTGTAGGGTCTGCTGTAGGGTCTGCTGTAGGGTCTGCTGTAGGGTCTGCTGTAGGGTCTGCTGTAGGGTCTGCTGTAGGGTCTGCTGTAGGGTCTGCTGTAGGGTCTGCTGTAGGGTCTGCTGTAGGGTCTGCTGTAGGGGCACCTTTCCAGACCATGTTGGTTGTCGTTTTTTTTTGTTAATACGTTTATTTAACTTTCTGCATTGTCGGTTTTCTTAGCTTTCAGGATTAATGTCTTTGGAGGTACTAAGCTGAACGAGCTGACGCTTTCAACACGCACTCGCCGTGCATGACAATTCAATATTTTAAGACCTATCCAGGTCCCGTATATTTTGCTCCTTATTGCGTTTTAACATAATCCACGTAACCTTCCATTTCGACCATTTTATGCAAGATAACCACTCATTAAAGAGACACTTTGAATACTTTTGGTCAAGAAGTTTTATGCTGCAAATAAAAGCATGCATTGGCTTGTTTACCTAAGTCTTTATTTTCCCAACATCAACGGGCGTGTTATTTGAACAAATATTTTTTTTCCAGTATTATCCGGGTTGATCTCCCCGTAATTTTCTTAAACCATGTCTGTTCTGTACCTTTTCAAAATCTCACCTGCCAAAATTCTGGCTGACTCTGTAATGTTTTAAAAAATGGGTTCGTAGCATAGGGCTGCACTACTGTATTGACCTGAAATCTGAGGGTTGTATGGCAGAAGCTGAAAACTCTTAAGTTTGAAAAGCAGCTAATGGGATGTCTGAAATTAATTTTAATTGTTCTGCAACCTAATTTTTTTTTCTTTCTAAAGGGTATAATTTGACCCCCTTTTCAAACGGTGCTGTCATAAATTTCTCCACCCTGACATGATGCAACACCTAATGACCACTGCATTATGCCTGCGCTCTAAAAAAAACCCTCTGCTGTTTATTTTTTGGCAAGGATGGTTCTTGCCTGGGCGATCTACATATGCAAACATGGTTGCCTTAGGTTATAGGGTTAATCTGGTTTCCCCACACTACCTTAACCCAACTGCTTCTGTTCGTATGACCCGTCTAGGCCGCCTTCAGCAAATTCCCTGGATCGTCTATCCGAGCTTGTCATTGTTCGTGAAAAGAAAAAGGTATTTGTGCTACTGCAACTTGACACGTGCATCCCTCTTGCATTGCTCCACTGCATGATGGTCTACTGTGGCTGAGTGGATCGAGGGTTGTGGAATGGGCCATGCTCTATCCTGCTGTTCGATGTAGGGAGACAAATGTATGGGACTTTAGTTTTGATACTCTGCCACCAACAATGCCCGCAGTTCCACGAGCACGCACGCTTGTGCTTGAAGGACTAATTGTTAATAGATCAGCGGAGTTAATTATGTTGTGCTTTTTATGCTTTAATATTGATTCCACAAATTTAAGTCTAAAAACGGTAGTAATTTTGACTTAGGTTTGCGTATGTTGTATACTTGCCAAAGATTTAAAACATGATTTTAACAACATGTAAAATGGCTATTGCCCACTATTTTTCAGTCCTTCCGAAGTGTTTTAATGTCCAAATTTTAAGACACGAATGGTACACTGAACTATAGTCCTGATTTCTGTTTTTAAATGATAGTAAGGCAGGAATACTTGGCTTGAAACATGCTTTCCCTTCCTGTCTCCAGGTTGACATAATGTCGTACCCACTTACGCTGCACATCATTGGAGGCCAAGGTGGAAATGCGTTCTCGTTTGATGGGAGGAGCAATGCGGCCACGCTGCAGAAACTCTCCGTGAGCGTTGGAGGCTGGCAAGTGAGGGGCGTGGAGGTGTGGCTGACTGACGGGCGAAGGCAGACATTCGGCACCGTGGACTCCTCTGCTCAGCAGTTTGAATTCCAGTCGGGCGAGTTCATGTCGCAGCTCTCCCTGTGGGGCAATGGGGCCGGCACGCGTCTGGGTGCCATCAAGTTCAGAACGAGCCGCAACCGTGAGTTCTTTGCCAAGATGACGGACTGGAAGCTCCAGACAGAGTACAAGATCGACGTGGGCTCCGGCATCTGCTTGGGTGTTCAGGGCCGAGCGGGGGCTGACATCGACTCCATGGGCTTCCTTTTCATCAATGCTGTCAAGTCGTCGGTGATCCAGAACATGAAGTACCCAACTATGCACCAGGTTCGACCTAATGTGCAGATGGAGGAGATTAAAGAAATGGAGTACATAAACGACACGAGCGTCATGCAGTCTCACACCTTCGAGAGCTCCAAGAAGATAACCAAAACGTCATCGTGGTCTACGACCAACAAGATCGAGTTCACCTTCAGCCTGACCGTCTCGGCAGGCATCCCTGAGGTCGTGGAGGTGGAGACCGGGTTCAGCTTCACCGTGAGCTCTGAGACCACGCACGCATTGGAGAACTCGGAGGAGCGGATGGAAACTCTCACGTTCCCTGTCTCAGTTCCTCCGCACAAGACCGTCACCGTTGTCGCCAAAATCGGGCGTGCAAACATCGACCTCCCGTACACGGCCCTGCTGCGCATCACCTGCATGAACGGCGCTCTCTTTGACGTGCCCCTGAGTGGCGTCTACAAGGGGCTCACCTACACCAAAATGACCGCCCGTGCTACTGAGAAATAGAGCAGCATTTTGTACCGTTTTTGATCAAATGTTCTGAGAATAATTGTGGCTGACTACGAATAAAAACCTTCTGCATTGCACTGCAATTTTCTCTTTGCATGTTTGTGGTTGCATGTAAGAATTTACATTTTTACGAGGTTCTAATGTTTATAGACATGGATATTTCACCATTTGCTGTTGGCAGGGATTTTTGTAGTTACATGGAGCTTCATATCATTCTAGATTTGAAGGTTTTGTGACTGCAAGGATCCACTCTTATTTTTTTCACCTTAACTTTACCAAAAGAAGCAAAGTATCGCGCTTCATATCCTCCATTCTGCATTGTATGGCCATTATTGAAACGGTGGATTAGTGGCATGGTATGTTTTACAGGTAGAAACAACCAGGTTCCACACTTCCCACCAGGGATTATTTGTCTCGCACAAATGCGCTATCCAACTAAGTTCCTACCTGCCCACTCAGAAGGAACGTGTTTTGCCACGGTTATCGCTTGAGTGCCGTCGGAGTGGTTATCATTTTAAGGTTTATTTTTTTAGTTTCCGATCTATGTAACTTTACCGAAAGAACCAAGAATAGGAATTCCTGCAGTCGCAAAAGTTTTAAGTCAAAATTTAAGCTCGTTCCCTTGTTAGCCCTCTCCAAACCCAACTCACCTCGGTCACCACAACTCTCTCACACCTACAGATTAAAACATAATCTAATAGATGCATTGTCTTTGAAACTGATTGGGCCACACCAGAGACGGCTTTCGAGCCGAGTCTCAAACGGTGTTAGACCAGAGGACGCCAAAGACAATGCATCATATGCTATCGGTGTTTTTGCATTCTGTGGTTAATGCAGACATGATTTTGTAAAATGTTTCAGTTTGTTTTAACGTCTTAACAACTCTTATTTCCAGAAAAAAAGTGGAAAACCTATTCTCATTTTTGTACTGGCAAAGGAGATCCCATGATCTACGGAATGATCATGTTTTTACATGATCACAAATGATAAAAGAACAGTCTTCCTTCTTTTCCTCGCCCCCCATCCTTTCTGGCAACAAAACACGAGTTGTGTCAATATACTTCCAAACGCCAAATAGATTACACCTGTTTACAATGCACTAAAGACTCTCCTGTAACGGAGTGCGTTGGGGGGGGGCACACGAGGGGATGGGGTGGGTGGCCAGCACCACACGCAAGCCCAGCCACCTTTGTCTCCCCTCCAAGTGACGATAACTCGCTATGTAACACGATTTTTGTTCCTGGGTAGTGTTATTTTCTAATTGCTTATGCCTCAAGTATAGACAATGACTATTCCCCACAAACTTTTCTGGGTGCTGTACGAGTATACTACACTATACACTACTCTGTGCGATGGTGATTGAGAATGCCTCCACCGAGACGTTGAGGGGTAACTTGGTGACGTCACCACGTTAGGGGGGGGGTGTGCGTAATGACGTCACAGGCGCCGATGACGCAGCAGATAACTTCAACTGTATTGATATTGTCACCTTTTGTGTTTGTCGCTTCGTGTTTAATGAATGAACAGCGTTGCGGGATGCAACGAGCTCGAATGACGCTGTACACAACTACATTGCTGTTGCTGTTTGTGTTCTGTATTTTTTATTAGAATCGACGATACAAGCCACTCGTACGCGAATATTTCTACTTTTTAAAATGTATATTAATGTTGTATATCTCCCACAACCCATGACACCACAAGAGTAAAATACATCCCAGTTTCTATTGCTAATCACTGCACCCCTATCAATTACACCCCCAGTGTATAAACATATCCCAGTTCACCATTGCTAAGCACTGCACTCCTATCAATTACACCACCAGTGTATAAACACATCCCAGATCACCATTGATAATCACTGCACCCCTATCGATTACACCCCCAGTGGAAAACACATTCCAGTTCACCATTGATAATCACTGCACCCCTATCGATTACACCCTCTTCTTCTTCCTAGCGTTGTTCCCGCTGTGGCGCAGGGTCCGCTTTTCGGCATTGTCTTCTCCATTTGGCTCGGTCCAGGGCATCTTCAGGGGATGCGTTGACCGTCTTCATGTCTTCCTTTATTCGGTCCATCCATCGCTTCTTCGGACGTCCGCGTGGACGGCGGCCCTCTGGCTCAATACGCACGGCAGTCTTGGCCACTGATGACTCTTCACTTCGCATCACATGGCCGTACCACCGAAGCCTTGCCTCAAGCATCTTGTCCGCAATGGGGGCCACACCAAGTCGCTTCCGAACGTCTTCGTTCCTGACACAATCCCATCGAGTGAGCCCGAGGCTCCATCTGAGCATCCTCATCTCCATGGTGTGGAGAGCTTGTTCGTGTACAGTTGTGGCTGGCCAGCACTCGGATCCATAGAGTGCCACCGGTCGGACGATGGTCTTGTATATTTTTCCCTTCAGCCTATCCGGCATTTTCCGATCACAGAGGACTCCGGTGACTTGCCTCCATTTCATCCACGCCGCATTGACTCGTGACCTCACATCAGTGTATAAACACATTCCAGATCACCATTGCTAATCACTGCACTCCTATCGATTACACCCCCAGTGTATAAACACATCCCAGATCACCATTGATAATCACTGCACCCCTATCGATTACACCCCCAGTGGAAAACACATTCCAGTTCACCATTGATAATCACTGCACCCCTATCGATTACACCTCCAGTGTATAAACACATCCCAGTTCACCATTGATAATCACTGCACCCCTATCAATTACACCCCCAGTGTATAAACACATCCCAGTTCACCATTGATAATCACTGCACCCCTATCGATTACACCTCCAGTGTATAAACACATCCCAGATCACCATTGATAATCACTGCACCCCTGTCGATTACACCTCCAGTGTATAAACACATCCCAGATCACCATTGCCAATCACTGCACCCCTATCGATTACACCCCCAGTGGAAAACACATTCCAGTTCACCATTGCTAATCACTGCACTCCTATCAATTACACCCCCAGTGTATAAACACATTCCAGTTCACCATTGATAATCACTGCACCCCTATCGATTACACCACCAGTGTATAAACACATCCCAGATCACCATTGATAATCACTGCACCCCTATCAATTACACCCCCAAGTGTATAAATACATCCTAGTCTACCATTGCTAATCACTGCACCCCCACACTACAGTCACACTCCTCTGGCAGGGTGCATACATCCACGTTGGCTTCACACACACACAGAGCAGTACTTATTTTAGCAACCCCCCTCTATCCCCTAAAAAGGTTGTGATGATTGTTTACGCTCAGACCCCCCCTCCCCCCCATTCTGACGGACAGCCACCAACCAGTCGAGTGACGGTGACGAGGGTGGCGAGCGCCGTGCGTCGTGGCGTCTGCCCTCTGCGCTGTTCGTGGTCACCTCCCTCAGGACGCACCACTCAGATCCACGATCCTGACTGAGTCACAAACTTTATAGTGCGACATCACAAGCCCCATAACCTCCACATGCCTCACTCCCAGCCCAGGATGTAGGGGCTGAGTGAAAGTTTTATTAAATGAGTGCAGCAGCGCCATGGAGTCGGCGTTGTAAAACGACAGCAGCCCCGCGTCCCAGTCCAGGTGGACCCCAACTCTCCGCGGAGGCTCCCTCATCGACAGTGAAGTCTCTACCCCGCCATGCCACACTGAGAATATGTCGCCATATTTCCGTAGACACCAGGAGATGTCACTCCCTCCCAGGCCGCACTGATCACCACTCCCTCTCCGTGGGATCGTCCCGTACGCGACTCCAACCCGGCACCACTCCGCATTCCCCACGTCCACCTCCCAGTAGTGCTGACCCGACGAGAAGCTCTCAGAGCACAGGGCTTGTGACCAGCGATCAAAGCGGTGTGGGTGATGGCGGCGACCCAGGGGGATATCGCTCCACGTCACGGTCCTGAGATCCGAGGAAATCTGGAGGCCGTCGTGGGCTGAGTTTGCGTCCAGAGTCGGTGAGCGTCCATCTGTGGTGAGGACAGCGAAGACGCCCGCACAGCGGTCACGGCGACACGTGCGCAGTAGCGGCACAAGCAGTGCACGTGGCGAGTACACACACACAGACACGCGGCGTGTACACACACACACGCGGCGTGTACACACACACACAGACACAGACATGCTGGTGTTGTGTTGTCTGTTGTGTTGTTGTGGGCATACCGCAGTACGTGAAACATTGATACGGAACACTGTGATTATCACGTGCATGACACATTCATACAGTATTCATTAGTATCAGTGTACACATACTAATATTCGTTAGTATTAGTGTACACTAATACTCGTTAGTATTAGTGTATACATACTAATATTCATTAGTATTGCGTCTCCACGCACAGATATTCTGTCACTCCGCTGCTGGATGAGCACCTCCCCGCGCCGTGCGCGTTGGCGATGGTGGGCATGGTGAACATAGAAGGGTAGAGGTGCAGTACAACAGTGGATCACGCTACGCTGCCCTCTGCTGTCCACCCTGTCACAACGGTGTAAAGTTTTTACTTTAATTCAATTAATTTCGATGCCCGAAGATCTCCAGGTTCTCTGCTGTTGCCCCTCCGCATTTAGGAACGCGCGTTCAGAGTACTCGGCTGCCGCTATAAATGTCCACACGAGGATGACGATGATGAAGACGATATCAGCCTCTGCGTAGCGATAGGCGCACTGCGCTATGAACCCGGCGCTCACGGCCAATACCGGTGATGATCATCTGAACCGGTCCTGGGCTTCGTTAGGTCGACTCAGCCTAAAATGAGTACCCGGTGCAGTGTGTAAACGTCAATAAACATATTTATTAGTTGCATTAATTTGTACCTATCTACGTGACTTTTCCGAAAGACCCAAAGGATATGAATTCCTAAAGTCACGAAAGCTTTAAGTCGAGGTTACTTTTCATTTGGGCTCATGTTCATCTTAATTCTCACCTAGCGGCCATTTTCTTCAATGAACCGTGCACCCACTGCACCCAAGTGTGATAGGCAGCGTCTGAATGACGTGCTTCGTCCGTAGCTTACAAAGTCGCCCGTTTGCTCT